AGAATACACGTTTGTGTTGTTGTACACTGTGTGGTGGAGTGGGGAGACTGAGGATACACGTTTGTGTTGTTGTAGACTGTGTGATGGAGTGGGAAGACTGAGGATACACGTTTGTGTTGTTGTAGACTGTGTGGTGGAGTGGGAAGACTGAGGATACACGTTTGTGGTGTTGTAGACTGTGTGGTGGAGAGGGGAGACAGAGAATACACGTTTGTGGTGTTGTAGACTGTGTGGTGGAGTGGGGAGACTGAGAGTACACGTTTGTGTTGTTGTAGACTGTGTGGTGTAGTGGGGAGACTGAGGATACACGTTTGTGTTGTTGTAGACTGTGGTGGAGTGGGGAGACTGAGAGTACACGTTTGTGTTGTTGTACACTGTGTGGTGGAGTGGGAAGACTGAGGATACACGTTTGTGTTGTTGTACACTGTGTGGTGGAGTGGGGAGACTGAGGATACACGTTTGTGTTGTTGTAGACTGTGGTGGAGTGGGGAGACTGAGAGTACACGTTTGTGTTGTTGTACACTGTGTGGTGGAGTGGGAAGACTGAGGATACACGTTTGTGTTGTTGTAGACTGTGTGGTGGAGTGGGAAGACTGAGGATACACGTTTGTGTTGTTGTACACTGTGTGGTGGAGTGGGAAGACTGAGGATACACGTTTGTGGTGTTGTAGACTGTGTGGTGGAGTGGGGAGACAGAGAATACACGTTTGTGGTGTTGTAGACTGTGTGGTGGATTTGGGAGACTGAGAGTACACGTTTGTGTTGTTGTAGACTGTGTGGTGGAGTGGGGAGACTGAGGATACACGTTTGTGTTGTTGTACACTGTGTGGTGGAGTGGGAAGACTGAGGATACACGTTTGTGTTGTTGTAGACTGTGTGGTGGAGTGGGAAGACTGAGGATACACGTTTGTGTTGTTGTAGACTGTGTGGTGGAGTGGGGAGACTGAGAGTACACGTTTGTGTTGTTGTAGACTGTGTGGTGGAGTGGGAAGACTGAGAGTACATGTTTGTGTTGTTGTACACTGTGTGGTGGAGTGGGGAGACTGAGAGTACACGTTTGTGTTGTTGTACACTGTGTGGTGGATTTGGGAGACTGAGAGTACACGTTTGTGTTGTTGTAGACTGTGTGGTGGAGTGGGAAGACTGAGAGTACACGTTTGTGTTGTTGTACACTGTGTGGTGGAGTGGGGAGACTGAGGATACACGTTTGTGTTGTTGTAGACTGTGGTGGAGTGGGGAGACAGAGTACACGTTTGTGTTGTTGTAGACTGTGTGGTGGAGTGGTAAGACTGAGGATACACGTTTGTGTTGTTGTAGACTGTGTGGTGGAGTGGGAAGACTGAGGATACACGTTTGTGTTGTTGTAGACTGTGTGGTGGAGTGGGAAGACTGAGGATACACGTTTGTGTTGTTGTAGACTGTGTGGTGGAGTGGGGAGACTGAGAATACACGTTTGTGTTGTTGTAGACTGTGTGGTGGAGTGGGGAGACTGAGAATACATGTTTGTGTTGTTGTAGACTGTGTGGTGGAGTGGGGAGACAGAGAATACACGTTTGTGTTGTTGTAGACTGTGTGGTGGAGTGGGGAGACTGAGAATGCACGTTTGTGTTGTTGTAGACTGTGTTGTGGAGTGGGGAGACAGAGAATACACGTTTGTGTTGTTGTACACTGTGTGGTGGAGTGGGGAGACTGAGAATACATGTTTGTGTTGTTGTAGACTGTGTGGTGGAGTGGGGAGACAGAGAATACACGTTTGTGTTGTTGTAGACTGTGTGGTGGAGTGGGGAGACTGAGAATACACGTTTGTGTTGTTGTAGACTGTGTGGTGGAGTGGGGAGACTGAGAATACACGTTTGTGTTGTTGTACACTGTGTGGTGGAGTGGGGAGACTGAGAGTACACGTTTGTGTTGTTGTACACTGTGTGGTGGAGTGGGGAGACAGAGAATACACGTTTGTGTTGTTGTACACTGTGTGGTGGAGTGGGGAGACTGAGAATACACGTTTGTGTTGTTGTAGACTGTGTGGTGGAGTGGGGAGACTGAGAATACACGTTTGTGTTGTTGTACACTGTGTGGTGGAGTGGGGAGACTGAGAATACACGTTTGTGTTGTTGTAGACTGTGTGGTGGAGTGGGGAGACTGAGAATACACGTTTGTGGTGTTGTACACTGTGTGGTGGAGTGGGGAGACTGAGAATACACGTTTGTGGTATTGTAGACTGTGGTGGAGTGGCGAGACTGAGAGTACACGTTTGTGTTGTTGTACACTGTGTGGTGGAGTGGGGAGACTGAGAGTACACGTTTGTGTTGTTGTACACTGTGTGGTGGAGTGGGGAGACTGAGAGTACACGTTTGTGTTGTTGTAGACTGTGTGGTGGAGTGGGGAGACTGAGAATACACGTTTGTGTTGTTGTACACTGTGTGGTGGAGTGGGGAGACTGAGAATACACGTTTGTGGTATTGTAGACTGTGGTGGAGTGGCGAGACTGAGAGTACACGTTTGTGTTGTTGTAGACTGTGTGGTGGAGTGGGGAGACTGAGAGTACACGTTTGTGTTGTTGTACACTGTGTGGTGGAGTGGGGAGACTGAGAATACACGTTTGTGTTGTTGTACACTGTGTGGTGGAGTGGGGAGACTGAGAGTACACGTTTGTGTTGTTGTAGACTGTGTGGTGGAGTGGGGAGACAGAGAATACACGTTTGTGTTGTTGTAGACTGTGTGGTGGAGTGGGGAGACTGAGAGCACACGTTTGTGTTGTTGTAGACTGTGTGGTGGAGTGGGGAGACAGAGAATACATGTTTGTGTTGTTGTAGACTGTGTTGTGAAGTGGGGAGACTGAGAGTACACGTTTGTGTTGTTGTACACTGTGTGGTGGAGTGGGGAGACTGAGAGTACACGTTTGTGTTGTTGTAGACTGTGTGGTGGAGTGGGGAGACAGAGAATACACGTTTGTGTTGTTGTAGACTGTGTAGTGGAGTGGGGAGACTGAGGATACACGTTTGTGTTGTTGTAGACTGTGTTGTGGAGTGGGGAGACTGAGAATACACGTTTGTGGTTTTGTAGACTGTGGTGGAGTGGCGAGACTGAGAATACACGTTTGTGTTGTTGTACACTGTGTGGTGGAGTGGGGAGACTGAGAATACATGTTTGTGTTGTTGTAGACTGTGTGGTGGAGTGGGGAGACTGAGAATACACGTTTGTGTTGTTGTAGACTGTGTGGTGGAGTGGGGAGACTGAGAATACACGTTTGTGTTGTTGTAGACTGTGTGGTGGAGTGGGGAGACTGAGAATACACGTTTGTGTTGTTGTACACTGTGTGGTGGAGTGGGGAGACAGAGAATACACGTTTGTGTTGTTGTACACTGTGTGGTGGAGTGGGGAGACTGAGAATACACGTTTGTGTTGTTGTAGACTGTGTGGTGGAGTGGGGAGACTGAGAATACATGTTTGTGTTGTTGTAGACTGTGTGGTGGAGTGGGGAGACAGAGAATACACGTTTGTGTTGTTGTAGACTGTGTGGTGGAGTGGGGAGACTGAGAATACACGTTTGTGTTGTTGTAGACTGTGTGGTGGAGTGGGGAGACTGAGAATACACGTTTGTGTTGTTGTACACTGTGTGGTGGAGTGGGGAGACTGAGAGTACACGTTTGTGTTGTTGTACACTGTGTGGTGGAGTGGGGAGACAGAGAATACACGTTTGTGTTGTTGTACACTGTGTGGTGGAGTGGGGAGACTGAGAATACACGTTTGTGTTGTTGTAGACTGTGTGGTGGAGTGGGGAGACTGAGAATACACGTTTGTGTTGTTGTACACTGTGTGGTGGAGTGGGGAGACTGAGAATACACGTTTGTGTTGTTGTAGACTGTGTGGTGGAGTGGGGAGACTGAGAATACACGTTTGTGGTGTTGTACACTGTGTGGTGGAGTGGGGAGACTGAGAATACACGTTTGTGGTATTGTAGATTGTGGTGGAGTGGCGAGACTGAGAGTACACGTTTGTGTTGTTGTACACTGTGTGGTGGAGTGGGGAGACTGAGAGTACACGTTTGTGTTGTTGTACACTGTGTGGTGGAGTGGGGAGACTGAGAATACACGTTTGTGTTGTTGTAGACTGTGTGGTGGAGTGGGGAGACAGAGTACACGTTTGTGTTGTTGTAGACTGTGTGGTGGAGTGGGGAGACAGAGAATACACGTTTGTGTTGTTGTAGACTGTGTGGTGGAGTGGGGAGACTGAGAGTACACGTTTGTGTTGTTGTAGACTGTGTGGTGGAGTGGGGAGACTGAGAATACACGTTTGTGGTGTTGTACACTGTGTGGTGGAGTGGGGAGACTGAGAATACACGTTTGTGGTATTGTAGACTGTGGTGGAGTGGCGAGACTGAGGATACACGTTTGTGTTGTTGTACACTGTGTGGTGGAGTGGGGAGACTGAGAGTACACGTTTGTGTTGTTGTACACTGTGTGGTGGAGTGGGGAGACTGAGAATACACGTTTGTGTTGTTGTAGACTGTGTGGTGGAGTGGGGAGACTGAGAGTACACGTTTGTGTTGTTGTAGACTGTGTGGTGGAGTGGGGAGACAGAGAATACATGTTTGTTTTGTTGTAGACTGTGTTGTGAAGTGGGGAGACTGAGAGTACACGTTTGTGTTGTTGTACACTGTGTGGTGGAGTGGGGAGACTGAGAGTACACGTTTGTGTTGTTGTAGACTGTGTGGTGGAGTGGGGAGACAGAGAATACACGTTTGTGTTGTTGTAGACTGTGTAGTGGAGTGGGGAGACTGAGGATACACGTTTGTGTTGTTGTAGACTGTGTTGTGGAGTGGGGAGACTGAGAATACACGTTTGTGGTTTTGTAGACTGTGGTGGAGTGGCGAGACTGAGAATACACGTTTGTGTTGTTGTAGACTGTGTTGTGAAGTGGGGAGACTGAGAATACACGTTTGTGTTGTTGTAGACTTGACGTGGAGTGGGGAGACTGAGAGGACACGTTTTATGTTTCAGATGATTCTTTGGTTGAGGAGAACGAGCGGTTGAAGCAGCAGACGATGTGTAAAATCTGCCTGGACAAGGAGGTCAGCATCGTCTTCCTGCCTTGTGGTCATCTCGTCTGCTGCGTGGAATGTGCCCCTGCTCTCAGAAAGTGTCCCATGTGCCGTGGAAATATCAGGGGGACCGTTAGAGCTTTCATGAGTTAGTGTGCTGGATAAACACTCTGATGGCTCTAGCCTTGGGTTCTGTTTGGTTGAAATTTGATGAGCCAAACGTTTCATAATAATTTCATATAATTTCATGTGTTTTTTGTGTTCACACAAGCACACCATCGGTGTGACATTTAGGAGTCATAAGTGGGAAACTCTCGTTGTTATTAGTTGTCTAAATTCACTGTGTTAAGGGTTCAAAGATTCCCGAGACGATGGTTAGACACTAGACCCAGATGTCCTATTGAAAACAATACAGGTTGTTGGGTGTCTCTGGGTGATGAACAAGATGTTGATGATCAGATGTCCGAAGTCTCTAGTTTTAGATCGGACACCTGTGAATCAGGCAACTCCACATCCTGTGGTACAACAGTCGTTCCAGGGGTGATGTGCTTCTTGTGTGTCTAATTCATTTTTAAGGAGAGGTCATAGAAACAATTACATAATAGTTGATGGCGCTCTAATGTCAAATTGAACATCATTTTCAACGTTGCCGAAACCCTTTATCATAGCCCATTTGGTGAATTGTGTACGAGCATAGATATATTGAACTTCCATGTGAAGAAAGGAATAGTTTCATACTGTTGTAGAAATATTGAAATTTCCTCTGATTATGTAGGATAGATGGTAGCATTTACGTGGTTAATAGCTCCTTACCGATATGAAGATCGCTTTGGGACAGCACGTTTCAGATCTTGCCCAACGTGCGAGCACGTGCGTTTGTCGGCTGCATGCCGATTTAGTGTTTTCAGTCGTGGGTCGTATGGTAAGAGCGCCCCGATTGGTTGGTGACAGACGGGATTAGCCAGTGGCTGCACCGTTCTGACGTGTTGACCCAGAGGTGTAGGATAGATGTTAGTATTTTCGGCATCAATATCTCCTTAATAAAAGAATCACAACGCAAAGTCATAAAAATAGTAGGTGTCTAAATGTGCCCAAAGTCTGTCCTTTTACACTGTATATACTAGTCTCTGCTGCATAAATTTGCGTATGTTTTAAGCTGTTTAAAATGTACCTGTACCTAAGGTTAGACTTAAGTAAACCATCTGTTGGTCTGCCCAAGTAACAGCTTAAAACAACAAAATGGTCCATTACACAATTAATCCCTTGCCACTTCTACTCAATGAATTTAATGTATTAATGTATTTTCATTATCATTAAATCTTAACCTTAACCACATAACTCTTCCAACTTCTTTCTCTCGGAGAAGAAACACATAACCCTGATCACGCGTAACCGTGGTTAATGTGTCACATCCCCAAGTGATACTGAATGAATAAAGACTGAATTTACAGCAATAAAGTATGCTGTTATTTGTGCAGTTTGCAAGCATCTCTCACAGACAATTGAACATGTTCAGTGAGGACAAACATGACAAATGATTTAAAGTATTGTTAAAGTTACGGTTTTAAGCGCCATGTTGACCTGAAAACATAATACATTATTCATAACACATTTGCCAACATGGACTTTTTACCCACATGTAACATATACTCACACGCAAAAGAAACGCAAGTGGTTTTAAGCAAATAGGTAACAAACACGAAACCATAAATTGATACGAGTTTCAGCATGTAGTGAAGCCTGGTGTTATCAATATTTTTTGTTGCATTTTGGAAGCCCCGAGTAAAAACGCAACATAAAAAACGAATCGCCAAAACGCACCATTTCAACAAATATGTGGGTATCATGCACCCATTTCTCGCGAAATCGAAAATGCACGAGTGAGTGAGTGAGTTAAAATTTAACGTCGCATCGGCATTATTTCAGCCATATAGCGACTAATGCACGAACTGTAGTGGGTATAAAACTGTGGCCGATTCTTGGACCTACCACTCCTTGGTCAACAATGCCACGCCTAACTCAAATTCAGAGAAACCAGGCTATCGGACGTTTGGAAGCTGGAGAGTCTGTCCAAGATGTTGCCCGTCATTTCAACGTTAACATAACCACAATTTACCGTCTCCATCATCGATACAATGCTACACAGACCACAGATGACCCTCCTCGGAGCGGTCGTCCTAGGGTCACCACACTCGACAAGATCGGCAGATTAACCGTCAACACCAGCGACATCCGTTCCTAACTGCAAGTGAAAGTGCTCGACAGACCATAGGAACACATAATGGACACATTAGCCGGGACACTGTGATCCGACGTCTCCGTTCCAACAACCTCAGATGTCGCCGACCAGCACGTCGTCCTGTTCTCCAACCACGGCATCGACAAGCACGACCGTCAGTGGGCACAGGGTCATCACAGTTGGCGTCATCGTGAGTGGAGGCGTGTCATCTTTTCATCTGTGTCATCTGAGTCGCTTTTGTGTCTCCCATGCAGACGGAAGAGACAGAATTTGGCGGCGTCGAGGTGATCGTTCCGCTGACAGAAACGTTGTGGAAAGGGATCCATGGGGTGGACCTAGCGTCATGATATGGTTGGTTGGTTGGTTTGTTGTTTAACGCCGCACTCAGCAATATTCCAGCTATATGACGGCGGTCTGTAAATAATCGAGTCTGGACCAGACAATCCAGTGATTAATATCATGAGCATCGATCCACGCACTTTGGATCGATGACATGCATCAACCAAGTCAGCGAGCCTGACCACCCGATCCCGTTAGTCGCCTTTTACGACAAGCGTAGTCACCTTTTACGGCAAGCATGGGTTGCTGAAGACCTATTCTACCCCGGAATCGTCATGATATTGGCAGGGATTGGACTTACTGCGAGACTTGGACCCATGTGCTTTCTGAATGTTGGTCAAGGTCGGGGACACGGCGTCACTGCTCAGCGGTATATCGACCAAGTTATCAGACCCCACGTTGTTCGATTTTTTGCACAACATCAACAACACATTTTCCAGCAGGACAACGCTCGTCCCCATGTTGCCAGAGCTACCATGGCCTTCCTGCAAAAACACAACATCCGTGTTCTACCGTGGCCAGCCCTCAGCCCTGATCTGAACCCAATCGAACACTTGTGGGATGAGGTTCAAAGGCGTCTGCACAATGTGCGACCAGTCCCTACAACTGCCGATGAACTACGCACAGCTGCTCTGGATGTGTGCAGGAGGATCCCTAGGGCCTTCACAAATCGTCTGATCCACTCAATGTACAGGAGATGTGTGGCAGTGATCAACGCTAATGGTGGTCACACCAGGTATTGACTGACATTTTGGGTATTGACCCGAAACTGTGTAAGCCCTTAACATTTGAAAAAAACAATTATGTCATCTGCCTTTTAATCCATTAAACTGTCTTCAGTCTAATTTTTGTCAATCTTGCCCTATTAGTATTTCTTGTCTTTACTGTTGAAAATAAATAACATGTATACCGCATACTCGACTTGCGTTTCTGTTGCGTGTGAGTATATAATATAACAAATTGATATTAGTTTTATTAAAATTTGACAAACTGATTCTGTGAAAATAAAACTTCATTATAAGTTGCTAAGTTCACTTAAATTTGACCAGGTGCAATTTGTCACAGATACACACATATTCTTACCAAATTTGGGCCCGTGAAGATGTAGTTAGAAAATATGTTTTCACCAACCCATGGTTAGTGTAAGAGGCGACAAACGGATCGGGTTGTCAGGCTCGCTGACTTGGTTGATGCATGTCATCGTATCCCAATTGCATAGGTCGATGCTTATGATGTCAATCATTGGATTGTTTGGTGCACACTCGATTATTTACAGACTGCCGTCCTATAGCTGGAATACTGCTGAGTGCGGCGTTAAACAACAAACACAATCAAGTCTCAATCAACATAGAATGAATGAACTGGCTGAGTGACTTCCAACCGAGAAAGAAAGCCCAAAGACATTCTGTCTACATGATATTCACAAGTATTCACCCCTAATTTCCTCTAATAGTCATGAAAACTGATATAGGTCAACCAAGCAGCCCCTGAGACATATACAATTTGGCAAGGGGAAAGCTGAAAATTTTGGAAAGTTGACTCTTTGAACCGTTAAACAATGCTTGGCCAAGCACTTGTCTCAGTGAAGGAGGCTGCTGTCTCGATTATCTAACGTCTCCCTTGGGCGTAAAAGGCAAAATAGTGATGACAGTTATATGAATGGATCACTTAAAAACAGTGATGGCACCAAGTTTTTGTGAAAAGGTTAAGCATGTTCTGCCCTACCGGTAAAACAACCACCACTCCCACAGTTTGCATGAAAAAGTATGTGTTTTAAAGGTCCTGTTTAAAGATGCACAACCTTTACCAAGATGAGTGTCTTGATGCATTAGCCCGTTCAACATTGTTTAATTGCATGGATCTAAACACTGCTTTCTGGCTGCTGGGTATTGGAGTAGGCGATAAATCCAAGACTGCACTTGCAACTAGCACTGTTCTGTGTTATAACATATGAAAGATTGAAGAAACATGTCTTTGTTGGCATGCATTGGGTTGAATGCCTAATGGTGTACCCCGGTGCCTTTAGCTGCTCAAGGAGTGGAAACAGATCCCAAGAAGACTCTGGCAGTGAAAGACACTCAGATAGTAGCAAGCACCGACTCCTGTTAAGCGGTCAGAAGCTTCTTGAAACTGTGTTCTCATTTCTGTAAGGTTGGTTAAAGGGTTTGCTGACACTGCCAGATATCTTCTGACTTCATACGTAGAATGATAAGATCGATAAGCACAGTTCAAGTGGACAAGTGTCACAGAGCTTTTGAAACCCTTGAGCTTTCTTTGATTTCATTTCCCATACTTCTTTATCCCATTCTAGGCAAGAGGTTCATTCAGGACACCAATGAACCACAGATGAAGAGCCTCAAGAGTCCAAAATATACAGGTAAAAAGATAAAGACAAATTATCCCACTTTACCTCCTCCTTGAAGAGGAACCAGTGGGAAAGATCTAGGGTTCACATGGGGCTACTGTATCGCAGATGAGGAAGTGAAGATGAAGATCTGAGAAGTTTTGCAGCTCATTGTACTTGATTTAAAGAAATACACTGTCTTGAAATACTGTCATTATGTTCCTTCCTCTTGGCAGTTGGCCTCTGAAAAGACTTGAGGGGAAATCAGACAATCTTTTTATTGGTCAGCAATGAAAGATGATATATATGTACGTATCGTTTTGTCTGTGACTGGTGCCTTTTGCCAGAAAGGCCACTACCCTCCTGAGGTCTCAACTGTGTTCCTACCAGGGTGGTGAACTAATGGAACATGCAAACTAGGACCTCTCCCAAAATCGTGGAATGGTATCAGAAACATTTTGATGCTGGTTTAATCGTTACCTGAAACAGACCTTGACAAAGCATGCATAATCAGACCAATGATCTCGGATGAATTCGTAACTCAGATCTGGATGGCGTACCGAGCTTCTAAACATTAAACAACTAGTGAGGCACCAAACATGGTCTAAGGCGTAGAGATTACTCTCCAAGTGCAAGCTCTGATAAACATTATGAGCATGAAACTCTTTACACTTAAATCAGCCATCTGAAGGAACAACTGGCCGACATCTACAACATTAGCAGAGAAGGTATGAAGAAGAGAACTAGTTGCCAGGGATAGCATGTTCTCACCACTGAACAACCTGTTTGGCTTCTAAATTAATAGACCCGTGGAGATTCGGGGTACAATAGGTCTTCAGCAACCCATGCATGCCGTAAAAGGCTATGCTTGTCGTAAGAGGGGACTGGTTGATGCATGTCATCGTAATCCAATTGCGTAGATCGATGCTCATGATGTCAATCACTGTAATGTCTGGTCCAGACTCGATTATTTACAGACCGCCGTCACATAGCTGGAATATTTCTGAGCGCGGCGTTAAAACCAACAAACAAACAAACGAATCTTACGTTTATATCTCCATAAACGCTAAAAACATATTGAAGTCTATGTTCTGAAATGATCTTGTATGTTATACGATATAGGTTAAAGTCTATACGAGAACCTGTTTGTGTATTTACATAACCTCGTATTATCACAAGTGCCCACAAAATCTGAACCGAACCTGCACTGCACTTAGAATGGGGGACGCTATAGATTGATAAGGAAACAACAAACAACCACAAAACAACCAGTTGTCTTTCCGGTAGCTCTATCGACACAGGCGCTCAAGACTCGAACGTTATATCAACACAGCTTGGAATGTCCATAAGTCTCACAACTAAGTCCTTGTATGGTCAATATATATCAACATTGACGAATTCATATTTCTTCTGATCGTTTACGGATCCTCAGACTGACATTTTCACAAATTCGGAATGCTGTTTGTAATCCATGAGTCCGATAACCACTCTGGTTACTAACTTCCGTCATGAAATACTATTTCAAAGTAATTTTAAACTGGTGATAATTAATTCCTTGAGCTGTCACAAAAAAATGTCTTTCACTTCTTGTTTTAATATATATTTTTATTTCACAACGCGACAGTAACTTCAAAAGACTTTTGGGAAAAAAAGGTTCTAAATTTGTATTTTCATTTCGACACAGAAAAAAACAAAAACATATGTAATGAAATAATTTAATAAAGAAGCCTTACGATGACATAACATAATGTCACGAGATTATATACCCCCTACCCCCTCTAGTTAAACCCCCGTACAGACAAGGGGATTTCTCTGTTCCGCTGTGAGAATTTTCGGGGTTATAGATAGAAACGAGTAATTTCTGGAGATACGAAGTGACACTTGCCCTTTGTGTTTTCCGCTAGCTGTCCTAGTTATGTTGATTCTACCTTAGACTCACAAACGCGCCTCCACTAAGTCAACTTAAGCTATTTGGTGTGTTTTAGTGACAAATATATACCACTAGCCATTGATGTATCCGCTGTTTGACTGACAATATCTTCAATATTGTCTCATATGTCTGCGCAATCACTAGCTGTGTTATGACTTGTGTGTTTTTTGTCCCACATCGAAACGCTGCATATTTCAATGCACACCTGTCGACATGGTCACCTGACAGGTATGTATGTAATCGACTATCGTCCTGGTAACATGATTTACTTATTGTGGTTATGAATGCATGGTCAACGTGCATATAATCATATCTGACACGTGCCTTGCTATGACATAGTTCACCCTCCCCTCATACGTGTATGTCTCGTTCTAAATAAGTGTCGTACAAAATATCTTTATAAATATATACTTTTCGTTCATTTAGTTCATCTTGCAGTGTAACAAAGTTTGAATTAGTAGGTCAAGCATGTGTAGACCGACTATAAAGGTAAAATTGTTCGTAAAACGAAACTGAATTTACGATCCAGGGATCCGCGTTATATCCGAGGTTCGCGACCGTGACATAGCAATACTGCATGGAGTATTTGGGACCTCTTCAGATCCTGCACATTTACCATGTTTACAATATAGCCCTGTCCGTAATATACAGGGCACCAGTGTGTTATTCTTTCCGCATCATGTATTCCAAAGACGTCAAACTTTTACCAGTCACAGTTGATGCACTTCAAGCACGATGTGGACAAATGGATACATGACGACTCGCTGACTAACTTGACAGTGCTTGTAAGTGGAGAGTTATTTAAAATGTGCTCGTTATTAGTGTTACACAATAACATTTGATATTTGGCAATAACGTGTTTATTGACTACTGTGTCCATACATATCGTGTGATATTTCGTGAATAACTTCCGAGCACGATTAATTACGAATTATCTGACCCGGATGTATTGATTTTTTAAGTATATTTAACTCGGGCTTTCCCACATTGTACCCCTGACATGGGTTCAATTGTTCCACAGAGGAAGAAATGTTGTGTATATCCTTGAATGGCTTTGTCATAATCTTAATAATGTAATCCAATAATCTCTCTCAGGCTCGCTGACTTGGTTGATGCATGTCCACTTATCCCAAATGCGTGGATCGATGCTCAAGATGTCAATCACTTGATTGTCTGGTCCAGACTCGATTATTTACAGACCGCCGTCATATAGCTGAATATTGCTGAGTGCGGCGTTAAACAACAAACAAACAAACCGATTTGGTGAAACTCAAGAACGTTTAAGATGCTGACAAACTTTAAAACATGATCAAGGCGTACCGGGACTCGAACCAAAACCTGTTTGAGAAGGACTCTCATAAGTATCCATAATAACCCAGGCACACTATACCTTTACTAATTGACTGTGTATTTTGTTCGGTTCATTTATATATGAACGAAAACCCTGTGTGCAAACTGCGGGAATCCGCGTAGCCGATATTTGGGCTGTCATGCACGGACATACCAACACCACGCAGACAGACATATGCATATACACATACATTATAAAATATGCAGTAAGTTTATGATATACAGGATTACATTTCATATTCATCTCGTTGGTTTATTGGAGCACTGTCCCAGAGGTGAAATGAGTTATTTTGAAGAAACATGCACCCCACATACCCACACCTCACACCCGCACCCTGAACACACACACACACCCTGCACACACACCCTGCACACACACACACCCTGCACACACACACACCCTGCACACACACACACACACACACACACACACACCACACCCTGCACACACCCACACCCTGCACACACACACCCTACACACACACACACCCACACACACACACACATCCACACCCTGCACACACCCACACCCTGCACACACACACCACACCCGAAACTATAGGAACCAATGACAATAATACACTACTACACGGGGGAAGGGGAAATGCAATTCATTACATAATATTATCAATAAAAAAATGTATTACAAATATATCTATAAATCTCTAGGATTACATATTGATGTATAATCTGACATCTTGAGCTGACGTTAACAGACACATGTGGGATGGTGTTTATAAATTGAACAAATTTAATCAAATTCAGTAAAATAGTTTTCATTTATATTAACACTTTTATGTCTCCCTGGTCAGTCTTCTAACACCCATGCAGGTGGATAGGTCGGTGTTGAAATTCAGACATCGATTTTGATGGAGAGTGGTTTTCATAGAGAAACTTAAATTGTGCATGTACACGACAGGTGTGTATAGGTTGAAGCAATGACATCCACCGGGTCAGCATATAACCAGTATTATACCTATCAGATGCATCGTGTCAGTCACCCAGTCGCTTTGAAATATAAATAATAAGAAGTGCATTTATAATGCGCCAGATTCCATTCGCCAAGTGGATGTTCATAACGCTACACTAAATATGTAATAGAATTGACAAAAAGAAAAAAAACGCGGCCACCAGCTGTCATTAATCTATATCGACAACAGATCTGTGTAGTTTCGCTTGTGACGGACATTACAACATGACGTGAATTACCGTCAATGGCTGTGCTGGCTTGACAGAAAGGGTTGCCTGTATAGTGCGAGCCCATGGCGCTACTGATCACAATCAAAATGGGTACCTCCGTCCATCGTTCTAGCACCACGACCTGTCACATTCAACCCGGAAATGAGGGTATGTATGACGACATATATCGTCAACCACATCGATACTTTGTGCAGTTCCTGTTTTCTGAATACATTTTAGCAAGTTATGAATAAATTTTGATTAAGTAAAGCAACACTATTGTTGGTAAATATGTGCATCACCGCGAATTGACTAACGAGCAGTCTATAACATCATTCTGTACACTTTAAATTTATCTGTGAATTGTTTTCTGACGCGGGTTTCGTGTAAGAATGCAGCTAGCTGGACATATTGTTTTCTGATTCTGCATGTTTCCTAGCAGAGTATAGCGAGCAATCGTGCCTTTTCTCTTCCTCTAGGCTTGTATTGAGGGCTGGAATTAAATGCAGTTATAGCACAGCCATGATGCAGTTCTTTGAAGTCAAGACAGACTAAAGAAATCAATGTATATTGAATAAACATATTGTCCTCGCACAAAGTCTCCTGGTGACCCGTCTTTATATTAGTATTGATTGCAGCTGTACATTGCTATACATATATACCAGTACGTAGCATGCATGGTTTACAATACATGTACTCAACTACACGAAACTTTCTCTCGAAATATCATAAAATTATCATTGTTGTTGTTGTTGTTATTATTATTATTATTACTACTACTACTAGTAGTACTACTACTTCTATTATTATTATTATTTTATTTTTATTTTTTTAGTCCAAGTTGGGACTGAATTAATGCGACTATATTCTTGGTGATGTTGTAATAATATTCGATAGTGCCGTTGAACTGACGTAAATATCTTGTGTTAAATTAAAACGAGGTACAAGTTATTGTAATTTACTAACTGTCAAAGTAGCTTCGGTAGCCCAGTCGCAGCACTCCGCTGAGCAGAGTTTCTTCATTTGGTCGTACCAGGATCCGCTGATCGTGGTTCGAATCTTAGAAACGTCTTGTTTATTATCCTTGGTTTGTCAGCACCATGTCAATGCTCGTGGGCTTCACCAATGTGGTTGACGTTTCCGATCTATACATCAATAGGGGCTTCTCTACCACAGAACGCCGACACACAGTGATATTACTGCACAACTGTCACTGAAAGAGGCATTGATGACGTCACATAATAATAACGTCACGGTCAAAATGACGTCATGTTTGTATGACGTCGTTTCGGGATTGATGCTTTGTGACCATTGACGGAGTGTGAACAGCAATTTGGTTGAAAACAAATGACCCAATAAAGCTGACATTTACACTCTGGTATTGCCCCGCTTTGTCAGGTCACTTCATGGTATAAACATGTCATGTGACAAGAAAATACGAGCATTCCCTACGTATTTATCATAACATTCCAGAAGGACTTAAGGGACCTATCACGGAAATTTATCAGAATGGGAAGGAGATGAATACTGCTACTTATCATACCTCCATGTTAGAATGATGAGATCTGATTTGTCCACGTGATCTTGATAAAATACTTTATCATACCACCATGTCAGAATAATTAAATCTGATTGGTGCATGTGATCTTGATAAAATACTATTTATCCCGCCTTGGAGGGGAATAAAAATCTCAGCGGAAGAATAAATCCATTATACCCCGCCACGAGCAGGACAGACTGCACGTGGATTTCTGAGAGGAGGAATAAATCCCTTATACCACGCTTATATGGCATCGGTCACTGAACGGCAGAATTAAGATAAACGTGTACACGGTATGTCAAAAGTCATTTGAGTTTCTATACAGTGATCAGTATGAATAGATGCAGGTTATTTTAAACCTTCTGATTGACAGGTTTTAATGCATGCCTCTATTCTCCATGTGTAACAGGTGACACTTCACCGATATGTACAGGACGCCCAGAGCTAGTGTTTGCCCAAATATCCAAAATATGCTGAAAATAGTTCACCTAGGCTTCATGTAGTGTTAATTTCGTGTGAAAATGAAATAGGTCGTAAAAACATATATTCATCTAGGCACAAACTATTTTACCACTCACAAAATACGAACCCATGTACACCAGACTCCCCTGTCGCGTGTTTTGCGAAAGTTACTGGAGAGTGCCGCCGTCTTCTATCGAATAGTTACTCTTGAAAATGGCTTAATAGTCCAGTGGCTCAAATAATAGTACCGCATTAATGGCAATGTCTGGCAAAATTTGCGGTGACTTTGAAATACTGGAATGAAAATGATCACAAATGTTCAATGGCTTACAAGTATAGCCAGTTCTTCTCTGACTACAAAACACATGTGAACACCCAAGCTAACACACAACGTTGTCACAACGCTGGGGATCGATTGGTAACGCCGTGATACAACGTTGTGACACGGGTATTATTACGTCTCCGGGCAACGTTATTTCACAACGTAATAACAACGTTGCATATTTACGTTGTAAAAACGTTGTTCATCGGACATCACACAACGATTTGTTACAACGTTTCTGAAACGTTGGTGCGACGTCAACTGTCTCCTTGACAAAAATTGTATGAACAAATGTTTTACATAGAAAATCGACACAATTTCTGCAGAAAACAAGACAGAGATGCATTATTTACCTATATTTCGGCTTCAGGATTTGGCACAGCTTTCGTGTAGGGTACTTTAAATTTGCTTTCCGATCAAAAATGGTCTAAGGCGCCGCGATTTGCTGTGCGGATTGCGTCCCTTGGCCTTGCGAGGATCCGCTGATAATGAATTCGCCCTGTCTAAGAACCTTGGTATACCTGTACTCATGTGCTTAATTTTCATTATGAATATCTACAATCTGCATAACTCCGAGTTTAGTTCCAGCTGACAATACGTATAACCTAAACAGTGCTCACAGCGCTTTACCGTACGTACTCGCCCACTCATACTTGCAACTGTAAACATAATAATTTAAGACAGTATGGACTTTAGAGAGTTATGTGTTTGAAATAGCAACAACAAATCAGAGAAATGTCATATTTTTTTGTATCAAGCTAAATCGTGCTGTCTTCAAAGAAAAACGTTCTGCCGCAAAGTTGCTCTTAGGGCAAATTTTATCAGTCCACCGACTCAACAAAAAACAAATGTATTTACCGAACATTACATGTAAACTGGTAAACAGATCTACTAAATTTGTAAAGCATACTAACTAAATATGGAGGGTGGTGGTGGGATGTAAGTACTAGCATACTTTACAAGGCTAATTACATTAAATAACACAAACATTGGTGTCGTTACCGTTTCATATGCACGACGAGTTTTGTAAAAAGTGTACTTTACGAACAACTATTTACAATACCTCACAAAAAATAGAAAATATAACAAAACTTTCTTGAATCTGACTCTGATATTTAATGCAAAAAGGGAGACTATGGATACCATGTATTACTATAAAACAACAAACAAATGATTCTTCGAGAAAAAAATTAAACACATTGTTAAGATGATGTTTTAGTTGTTTAATCCTTGCATAAGTTTTAGGTAGCTCTGACACGAAATCACAAGCGGGTCTTTCAAGTGAAAAGGGTAAACAAGCCAAAACCAGGTAGTTACAGTTATCTGTCTAAACAAGGATCTGCAAACATTTAACAGATAACTCGTATTTCCAACGGAATACGATCTTAGGGGATCGGAGGCGTAATTGCTCTTTATCTAGTTACCTTTCGAACGAAAGGGGCATATGGAGGCAGACGACCAATCTCTCCGGTGAATATTTGTCGTGGGCGTGTCAAGTTCATAACCTTTCGTGCGTACCTCTATCACCACGTAACATCTCTATATATTGGGGATGTCATGCGGTATTAAGACAATGACAAGCTCTTATGTTAGAGGTACTAACAGAATATATGATCATTCACATATTGACGTAAATGTGAAGGCTGACGTTCGTAACGCTGTCCAGTTATCTCCCTTTTTGTAAGCAAATCAAATTTCCAATTGCTTATGTTTATTTGTTGTTTTGTTGCTTATAATTTAGATAGCTAACTAAATTGAGTGTGTCCCAAGACACCTCTTTTCTACTTCGTAACTTTTGCATTTTAGGTAAACAAATATAACACCCAGACTTATGATAGTTTTGGCTGTCACAGACACAAACACACATTGGATCTAGAGCCGCCTCTTTTTGCCAGTAGGTCTTTCATCATGACATTTACCTGAATATGTTGACTTGTTAATCCTGATATCAAAGTTGCAAAAGAAGTACACAAATTATTTGTATTGTTTGCATAATCATGTCTAAACAATACATGAACTGACAAGACTTCAATAAGCAAAGGTGTACCTAATGAATACTTTTGTAAACAGTTGATACTTAGTCTACCCCGTTACATACAGTGGTTTCTGCTACAGTGCATGTTCTGACAGAGAATACTAAGTATTTGTCATCCTCTGTTGAATTGCATTAATTCTGTGTGGTAGGTGCATGGTAAATGCATCCCCGACATGTTCACATTGTCACATATATATTTTGATCAATATTGTAATGCTGTAATTGTTGCTCTTAATTTGATAGAATATGATCTATTCTTTATCTGTAATTGTCGGTGAAATTGTTGTTATGTTTATTAAACTTGATACACCATGCACATACTTTCTGCAGCTATTTTAAAACTTCATGAAGTTGATTAATTTCCTTATAATGACAACAAATATTTAAGAAAAGTATTTATATAAAAAATGAATTCTACATTAAGTAATAATAAACAACTAGAATAATTTCAAAAGTATCTGCTATATTGAACAGAGAAATATAACCTTATTTCATGTTCATTTTCTCGTATTAATCTTATGTGTAGAATTTGAGTGTTGAATATTTTCTTGACCATAGGAACACCATGATGAAGATAAAGGCTGGAATTGAAGGGATTTGCTAACCACACTGTGGATAAACATGTCAAAAAACATGTCAGCAGACACTGTCACACGCCTCATACCTGAGGAAGACTTGATTGATGGATTATTTTACAAATGTGATATCAACAAAAATGGAAGGGTGTGTGTGTCTAGACTGATCAGATATCTTACCTCAACAGCTGGTCAAGACAAACAGGTATTTTAATGGATTAATAGCACATCTGTTCCAAAGGGCCCTATGACTTCATATTATCAGCGGCTTTATATGGGAAGTCCTTTGGAACCTTTTTAACAATTTTAACTCTTCTCCAGAACTGCTATGTGAATCAAGCTCATTGTTTTAGTTGCTTCTGATAACAACATAACAAGGCTAAATTTTCTTAAAAACTGACAGATAAAATAGGCAATATTAAGTTTTAATATTTTTAGAGATCCTCTGCTTAATAAACCTAACAGGTCCAGACATCTGAAAAACATAGTTTCAAGTGTCATGATTAACAATCAGTATTGCTTAAACATGTTAAAAGTAATATTTTATTCTTCCCTCTCCAGTACCAGTTAATGTATTGCAGTTGGTTGGTTGGTTGTTTTGTTGTTTTGCGCCGCACTAAGCAATATTCCAGCTATATGACGGCGGTCTGTAAATAATCGAGTCTGGACCAGACAATCCAGTGATTAATATCAAGAGCATCAATCCACACAATTGGGATTGATGACATGCATCAACCAAGTTAGCGAGCCTGACCACCCGATCCTGTTAGTTGCCTTTTACGACAAGCATAGTCACCTTTTACGGCAAGCATGGGTTGCTGAAGATCTATTCTACCCCGAAATCTTCAGGTATTGAAGTAAAATAAAATATGGGTAACTGATTGTTACTAAATCACAAATCAGTCTTAATTGGATTATCAACTGTGTTAGATACTATTGATAATGCTACTGCACTTCATCTTTTAGTGATCTTTCCTTCAGGTATGTTGGTGAAACAAAAGCCCTTTCATAAGCCCAAGTTATAAAAGTAAAAAGATAAGATTTTGGGGTCCCTAAAAATAAAAAAAAGAGTCAAAAATCATCTGTTACAGAGTTGCCATCTACCTAATGGTAAAAGTAGTAGTCCACAAGGACATGTTGCTAGCCCTTCCTGAATTTTACTTGTCTCAGACTAGCAGATCATGTTAATTTTGAACACTGTCCCTTGTTGCATTGCCAGCTGAATTAGCAGACGGGTTGTAGATTCACATTTCTTAAATCTACCCCAGTAGACTGGTGATTTTTAACCAAATAGTGAGACAAACTTTAAAAAGAAGATAAAAAGTTTTAGGTGATTGTCAGCCTGCACCTTCAATGTTATTCTAATTCAGGTCAGACATTTTTTTTCTTGAGACAACACAGCATACACTTGTAGGCTGTAGATATCAGTGTTATTGTGAAATTCAAAATAGGTGCATTAAAATTGTTTTATAGCTGGAATAAATCTCTGAAGTGGAAAGAGATCTGGGGCAATCATGGAATGGCAGCATGATGTTTTGAAATCCACCTTTGTACAGATAATGTACACCAAACAGTATCTTGGCACAAGTATTACATATTTACAATTTCTGGGTGGGGGGGTGGAGGGGGGAGGGTTGTAAAAGAAACTTTATTAGTACATTTGATGTGATCATGCTTAAACTCCTCAAACCAACATGGAAATCAATTTTTATGTCTGCCAGCTGACATACAATGTTGGGTTTGAAGTTTAATTGTTTCTGATTGGCAAACATAAATTTCTCATGATCATTTTGACAGTATGTGCTTTGGGGCTAGTATGTTTGCCTTGAGCCCCATCTAACCAGTAACAGGAATATTCATTGTCAACCTAATGTAAGCACAATTTATATTTTAACACAGTGTGCACCTAGCTATTACCACCTACTCATTATTTTCTGCCTTAATTAATTATTACATTTAAAAATAAAAATCATGTAACAGTTTTGGTAGGGCTGGCTAAAAAGATCAATAATTGGAATTATAATCAATAGGAAGAACTATTTACGATTATCGATATGAAATTGTTGTCATCCATAATAACTTACTTAACTATTGTAATGAAATAAAGTTTAGATTTACTGACTTGTTATTATCAAAAATGTCAAATGTCGAAGACAGAAAGCAACTGTTTTTGTTATACACACATGTATCTCAAATGTTCATAAAACAGTCTATGTATAAATGTGTCACTGCTCACCAGTGATGTGAAATATGTTGATACTTTCTGGACCCTCGCATATTTGCTTAAACGTAATATCTCCAATATTTATTGATAATTGATCAATATTTAGTTAGTGATTAATAATCTCTATAATCTATATCGATAGAAAGCCCTAAAATATGCTGTTCTTGAGTATTTTCATGAAATATGACATTTTCATCCTATATTGAGCCAGCTGAAGACTTTTACAGCTTGTTGAAGTTATAATGGATGGATTTATCACAAGTTGTTTCAGCGTCTTGGAAACTGTATATTTCAGTCCCTAGCAGCAATAGAGAACCTGTCCGAAATGTTTGACCCACATGCTTCAGATATAGCTATTGATCTGCTCACTTATCGTAAGTGCATCAACAAGTGGATTCAACAAGTCAGGCAGAGTAAGAGGTAAGTTACTATTTCAATAGGAACAGAAAATTGCAGTGAACTTAACTGTCAAAAAAAGATTTTAAATTACTGCTCGGCTCCATGGTGACAGTATGAGAGTTGCATGAAAATGTAGAATGAAAAGACAAATATTACAATATGTACGTCTAATATTTAATGATTATATCTTATAATACAATAATCTGTTTTGTTCTGTATCATCAGTAAATAAGAATGGAATATTGGAAGCCTTAGGAGAAGTTTAAATAAGTAGAGAATGTAATTAACTTAAGTTGAAAAAAGGGGATTACTATTAAAAGTTAGCCCTCAGCCCTCACTGTATAAGCCAAAATCTTTTGTCTAGCCTGAAGTCAACTGTTGGGAACAGTTTTAGTTGCTTTTTAGACTAACATCTGTTCTCCAAAATGAATATATTTTATAGAAAAAGAAGTTGTTAAATTATAGTTATAATATATAATAAAAAGGAGCCAGGAGACTTGCCAAATATTATAGACTTGCATGGACTGTATTGAATGTATTTGTTTCAGGGTCTGTATGACAGACTAGTTGCTATTATGAGCTAAGCTTTTAAGACAGAAAGAAATTTTAATAGCCTCTCACTTTGGACTTGTGACTAAATTCACAGACTATGTTTGTAATGTTTAAAGAAAACTATTTTTTATTAACATATTGAAGAATAGAGATGGCAGCCACAATAAATCAGAGCCTATGTAAAAATCTTTTCATGTCAACAAATATTTGTAAAGAGGAAAAGCACAGTTAGTAATCAGCCACTTTTCAATCTGTTTTCATGTAAATATACCATTTAAAAATATTGTATTTCAAGTTGAATCCTTCCTGGTTGATAAACCTACATTTCTTGTGACTATTTTGATTCAGCTGCCTGTATGTGATATAGGACCAGTATTTCCTTGACTAGCTCCATCTTGACAACATGAAGTATAATCATTTTTATTCTTCAACAGATTGATAGTTTTTTTCTGATTATATAATTATTATTGTTGTAATTGATGGCTGCCTGTTTTCAACACTGCTATACAGTGTGCAACTGACAGCTGGGAATACTTAAGAGATCCAAGTGTATGCACAATGTGTGATGTGTTGCCATGGTTACTTTACACAACATCTTGTCACCAGGTTGATTACCCATGAGTAAGCTATCCACTCATTTATGGTCGCTTTACTCTTTTGAAAGAGAAAAATATGTCGGGCAAAAATAGTGAGAGTTTCAGGTTCGATGTTAGTCATGTTAGTAGATTTCTTCAATCCTCTGAAAGTTGAAGTTCCTTTGGGTGAGTAAAAGTTTGGGTATTTATTTTAATTTGCTCATACAAGTATAGATTTCAATCATGCAGCAATAGTATTCTTTCAAATACAAAGTCCTTAGAGTCTTTATGTGCCTTCCTCTATGACACAAATGTGCCTTCCTCCATGACACAAATGTGCCTTCCTCTATGACATATTCTACATTCAATAAGAGGCCTACAAGGCGATGTGAAACGGGGTTTAACGTCGCGTCCAGGATTATTGCACTTATATAGTGACATGCATGCATTTGTGTGTGTGTGGCTGCTTGTACTATTCCAGACTAATGCCAATTTTATAGAGCTAGCCCACTGAGATTCCATCCCACAGTTTAACAAGAATACCCCAAGCAGATACTGTATACTGACCCTGAGCCAACCAGTCCTTGTTTTAGCCCCACAATGCAACAAGAGGCAGATAGTAAAGGGACCGAAATGACATGATGAGGCCACACAAAAATTAGTCATCAGATTATAAACATTTTTTTTAGGAAATGTGAGTCAGCTGGCATTTTATTTTTAATAATATGTTCAAGGCATCTATCAATGGATGTAATTCACATGCAGGGTGAATGTAGGACAATGTGTGGTGTATTTCATGTACAGGAAGAGCAACACACATGACCTATTAAATTAGAATAATCTTTCAACTTCCACATGGCTATATTTCAGGGGAAGCAGTGTCTCAGAAGAACTCATGCCTCGGAATCCCCTTAAGAGACAAAAGAGCAGTTTGTTCTACCCAGACAACCATTTTCCTACATTCCTCAGTGAGGACAATGTTTCAAGCCATATTGAAGGTAATGTGATGCAGTGATAAAGGTTTTGTAATTTGAAGTTATATTGACAAAATACACAATATTTTTCGGAAGAAAAAAAATAAATTTCATACAAGACATACTACACTCAACTGAGTTGACTTTCTACCATTTCACATCAAGAAAAATTATCATGTCTGAGAGTTGTGATGAAGTGCTGAACTAAGGCTGACGTGATATTGAATGTTTTTCTTTCTAATGCAATGATTGTAATTATGATAATAACTGATTATTTTTAAATCTGTCCATTAGAACCACCTGACTGTCAGGATTTACTTTAAGTTCCCCTTTCATGTTAATCCAAACATTAAATGCTCTGATGTTGTGCTGTTCTGTTATTGGAGACAGTGTATGAGGACCAAAGTGGGGTTGTTTTATATGTTTTTATTCACCTCAAGAGGCATAATTAAATAGAGTGAAATGATAACTCTGTATAGAGAGGGGTCAGGTGATTGACAGATGCTTCATGAAATATCGGTTTTGAAAGAATTTTACAAGAGCTTCACTCAGTACAGTTGCAATGAAGCCAGCAATCAAGCATGTTCAGATGTACAGTGAAGTTATGTTTAATTTCCTGGACTTTTCTCTCACCTAGTAGTAAACACAAGAAGTGTTAGAGAATTTTCAGTAATAGATCTGGGAACAATGTTTCAAAATCATGTTAACATAGTCTTTTTAGTCCCTAATTCTAATTAAAGCTTCTGAGAACAAAAGTTATTTTAGGATAAAACCAGGGCACTAGTGCTTGGTAAATGGAAAAATGATACAGATGGTAAAATAAATAAGTACACTGTATGAATTATGGGTTTGTGTTGATCGTTGTAAAAGATAACAGCCTGAATGAATTTTTTAACTGACTTTGTATAATTTTCCAGGTGCAAATATGTCAGCTTCAGTCCTGGATGCATCTTCTCTCGATACAAGTACCAGACATTTTGAAAGGTAATGTGACTTAGTTCATGGATTAGCAAGCTCAAGAAGCAGCTCTTGGGAATGCCAGGGAAAAGTGCTTGTTGTAAGAATTGACCAAAGGCGATCAGGTGGTTAGGCTCGGTGACCTGGTTGATTGCTGATTGCATGGATTGTTGCTGATGCTTTCAGTCACTGTTTTTTTCTGATTCAGCTTTGACTGTTTACATGCCACTGTGATACAGCTTGGGTATTGCTAGCTGCAGAATTTGCACATTGTCACGTTCAATCAAAATCAGGTACATTTCTAGCCTGGGTGTAGGTTCCTGTGAAATGGTTTTGGAATGCAGTGTAACACAGCTGGACACAAAGATAGAAAACTGATCCAGAAGAATTATTCTTTGAATGTTGACCCTTCACTAAATACATCTGTGTCTTATGATGAACTCATAAGTGCTGTTTTGGTTACACTACACCTGTCTCATTCTGTCTTCATATGATTGAACCACAGTGCTTACAACCTGATACTTTAGTAAGATGAAAATAACCAATATGTTCAGTATTTTTCAAGATACCAGAGAGGTTTTTTTTCACATGTAATAGCAGTAGCATATCACAATAATTCAGCATAAACAAGATGCTTCTTGCATTGCAACTTTGCCTTACATGATAGGATGATGACTAAATGACCGCCATAGGATAACTGCAACAATTTCCTACCTTTGAGCAAAAATCCGAAAGGATTTCTGGTTTATATGATATACATTCAGTTCCATGTTTATGTCTCGATTTTTACATTTATTTTGACTCTCTGTTCAACAGACCGTTTGGTGATGAGAAACACAAAATATAGCATGCTGGATATGAAAATGTACAATAGTAAGTTTACTATTTCCCTAGTGAGATCAGCGAGCTGACAAGTCAAGTGGGAGACCTGCAGCACCAGAACCGGAAGCTGGTCGAGGACAACTCCAAGCTACACCTGCAGCTGGAGGCCCAGGAGGAGAGCATGAACACCATGAATCAAGACCATGTCATCACCAAGAAGAAAATAAAGAGGTGGGCATACAAGAGCTGCCTTCAAGTGTCTACATCATTGACACTGGGTGTCACAAATTAATTATTTTCTACCATCCAGATTAACATATTTCCACTGTTTCTCTCCAGCTTGCAAGAATTGGTTGACCTCCGCTCAGAGACACAGGAGGAAAATGAAGAACTGAAAACGACCCTAACAAAGTACCAAGATAAGAGGAAGGAGCTGGAAAACAGGTTGAATCAGGTTGAAAGGGAAAATACAAGTTTACAGGCACAGATTACTGACTATGAGAGCAAGGTAGGTGATAAAATATTTTGTGTACCATAGTATTGCATATATAGGCTCATGGGACTAGGGCTGGCTATAAAGATCATGATGTGTTATATCTTTTATGTCCACAAAGTAATCCAATAAAGTGTCACCACTCACCAATGGTGTGAAGTATGTTGATTTCTTTCAGACTCTTTTGCATATTTCCTCAAAGTTACTTCTCCGATATTTATCGATAATTGATCGATATTTAGTTCTCTATGATCGATAGCCAGCCCTAATGGGACCCATCAGATATCTGATAGATTTACAGAGCTTGGAATTTGGCTGTGTCAAACACCTCAAAAGAGTAACACACAACCTCTCTTTCTTGCTATTGTGGTCATGGAATAATGGAATAAGTTTGTCTGATCAGGTGTTGAGTACACAGCTACAATATATTTTACAGTCTGTGCCAATAAGGTTTCAGTGTAGGACAAAACAGGTTACGCTGTATTAAGTCAACATGAGTTTGTAATCTAGAGCCAGCTTCCTTCAGTCTTCAGAAAGCTTATGTTCTTCTTGACTTCTCTTGTCTTGTTGTGGTATTTGAAGGAGATGTGCATGTATGAGTTATTGTATGGGTGCTTCCTACACTACATGATCTTCCTTTGATACTGACATGTACAGTCAGTAACTGCTGTCAGTTTTAAATTTGTTTTTCAGCACACTTACTTTCAGGGCCACTTGCATGAATATGGTAGAGTTTAAGATCTGACTCATATGAAGAATGTATTTAGAACCATTCCATCATTTCTTGATTAATTGTGCATTATTCATTATTGAAAAAGTCATGCTTGTTTTTGTTTTGTTTACTGAACATTTCGGAAATATTCTAGCTAAATGATGCCTTTGTAGAGCCTCAATCCATTCTTTTTATGTAAAGTGAATGTGTCATGTTTTGTTTTAGTACATGTAGTAATAACATGTAACGACAACAGGACTAAAATGACCAGATTTATTTGGCCAAAGTAGGTAAAAGAAGCAGACCAGGTCCAGGTACAATGTATAGCAAAAAGTAACACAATAAGAAAGTGTATACTTAAACGACTTAAATACAAATTAGCTCAGTAATAAAATTTAAACTTAAAGAGAAAATATTAAGTTGCTAGTAGACTGTAACATGTATCAAGCCTACAACCCATCGAGACATACAACTAGAATATACTGAACAGAAAAGGCAGCGGGTGAGCGGGGATAAAAAAACATGTGTTAGAAGTAGCGCTTAGCCAGCCAATGACACCGAAAGGCGGTAATTTAAACCATGCGGCTAGGGATGATGGGAATAGACGAGAACATAGAAACAGGCATTATGGGTAGAAACTTGACCCGGAAAAAGTCTAGCAGACCAAAAACTTTATAAACAAAGCTATACCCAGAAAACTGTATTAAACAAATGATAAATGCGAAAGCCTGTACAAAAATAAGAAAGCAACACATGGACATGCAAAATAAACAGACTATACTACAAACATTATGTGGCAAAACAAATGTTGCTGGGGATCTTACTTAATCATTTTCAATCTACCTACAGAAAATGTGTAATTTAAGATCAAAGTTATTTGTATTTCCATTTATGAATGACCTTGATTTTTACTAAATATTTGTATATAGTCTTTTTATACACTTATAAATGTCATCATTGTTGTGACTCACTGTCCCATGCAAGGGAGCAGCTGTAAATGGTGAGTGAGTGAGTATGGTTTACACTGCTCTTAGCAATATTCCAGCAATATCACAGTGGGGGACACCAGAAATGGGCTTCACACATTGTACCCATGTGGGAGATCAAACCAGGGTCTTCATCGTGACGAGCGAACGCTTTAACCACTAGGCTACCCCACTGACCCTCTGTATTTGGTGAGAACATCACACTAGAAACTTTGACATTTTCAGAATTTAACAAATTTAACAACTGCATGGATTTTAATTTTCTTTTGTGGAAAGGTATGCTTTGCTGTTGCTGTATTATCAGTGTATAGTTTCAACTTTAGACTCTAAACCTGTACTAAAGCTTTTGTACCTTGACAACAATGCATTATCCTTGGAAACAGTATTACAGGGATGGAAATGAACTCAAAAGCCAAACAAGCCAAACAAGCCCACAGGGCTAGTGGAATTCGTTTCTGCTAGCTCTGCAAAAGGTTTCTCTTCCTGATTAAATAAGACTTTCAAAATTCTACCTTTAAAGACTCGAAAATTGCCAGATGTACAGCGTGGCAGTTTGACAGGGGATTGCTTACAGCATTAGTTAAAAGACTTACAGGCCTATGGGCTAGTAGGGCTGGTGATTTAGATCGATAATCGTAATTATCATCGATGGAAGAAGGTTGTGACGATTATCGATATGAATATAATGCTATCGATAATGACATGTATTTTTTCGACAAATAAAAGTTTTTACTGCAACACATTTGACTTATTTGTTTTGCTATCCTTGTAATTATCGCTAGATATAAACAGACAGATTCACCCTAACATACAGTTTTCTCCCCTTCGCTTGATGTTTAGTCGCAAATAAAAATCAAATGTTTGAAAAAGTAAAAAGTTCTGCTTTGAATCGAACGACGACGCCATTACGTGTTGATAGTGGGTAATTACAAATGTAGTCACAGGCATCTAAATGCGGAGTCAGGATTTTAGAAAATATGTATATTTTCGAAATAGTATGAAGTATCATGATTAAAATAGGTTTCATAATACTTTAATTCTTAAAAAGAATTCTTCCCATTCTATTTCCTAAAATTTCAAATTTTATGTCTATTTGGTAACTACGTATTCCAGTCTGTTTCGATTTTTTCAATGATCATGGTTTTCGTTTTTGCCGGTATTCTCAACTCACAGCCCACGTGAGGTCCACGTGGGGTTTGACATTTTTACGATATGGCAGCAAAAATTCCTAATTTCCCCGTTATAATCGCACGATGTTTGTTTAATAGCAGTCTGCCACCCAATCTATTACGTATCACACGTGTGAACCTAGTACAACCTACTACGTAGCACACACCTGTACACACCTGACATTCACAATGGCGGAATATTTGATGATTTTTTATCTGAATAGTTTCGTGAATACTGTACATAAATGACAAACGACTATATCAGGTGAAATTACATTTAATTTCTCAATTACCGTATTTTCTTGAGTACAGTGCGCACCCATGTATAATGCGCACCCCCCTCTAGCGGGTTCAATATTTTGGAAAAAAAGAAATTTGAATATTATGCGCAGAAAAAAATTACACCGTACCCTTTCAGCGAAGTCCGGCACACGAACGGGTGATGAGAAACTTCGTCAGTACAAATTCGAAATTTGAGAAAAAAAATCACCAGACATGTTTATTTACCGTTTAAATAGTATTTATTGTTCTGCTAGGCATTGTTTTATATCCCGGGATTAAGATTACCTTGTGTATTTTCTCGTAAACTAAGCCGGAAACAGCAATCAGCTGTACACACGTTTTCTTGGAATCGACCGGTGATTCGGTCAAGACACACCCAATGAAATAACTTAATAGGATTTTTAATGCAAGGATCGGCAAAAATTGTATATGAAACTATTTTTTTTATCAAGAATAATATATTCCATTATTTTCTTAATTATATACAGCCTTTACTAAACATATTTAAAATAGATAATAACCCTAAGCGAAGCAGCTGATCGCTATTCCCGGGTATTACTTTTTACATGGACTCAGTCTGACCAGTCACCGTCAAGGCTCACGCGCACGTGATCGCGAGAATTTCATGTTGACATAGAATCGTCAAACAAAAACAAATATGACTTTTAACGAGTCAAAGTATGTCATTTATGATATATGTATCCATTCTCTGTCAACTAAAGTTCGTTTCAAGACGTCAATAGCGGTATTCTGACCGTGGTTGCTGTTAATAACGGTGAGTTGTGCGATCTTCCGATAGCTTCACACACGATTTCGCCGAAATTAATAAAAACAATATTAAAAGGAATACTCAAGAAAATACGGTATTCTCACTTTATAGAAATAATAATTGTCTTTGACGACATGAATCTTAAACTCAAATTGTTCATCGCTAAAAATGCGATGTAACGTGCGTATTGTTGAAACACTGAGTCTCCGGAGAAGTGAAATGCCATTTTTCTGTAATGTCATTTTACCAAAATAGAATTCTTTGATATTTATCGATTATTGATCGATATGTGACTACCGATAATCGATCTGAGTAATCCATATCGATAACCAGCCCTATGGGCTAGTAGGATTATAATATTATTAGCCAGTGGTAATTTCTACTAGCCACTGGCCTACGGGCAAGCATTAATTTCTATCAGTATTACTGCAGTATTACCAGCAATGTTGTACATTAGTGGGGACCTGGTGTTCATAAGGTTTGCTGCTATTGTCTTTGAATCTGGGACCCGCTAAAGTTTAACTTTTAACATTAGATTTGAATAATTTTCAACACTGATCAATATAAATAAGATATCTATTTTAGACACCTACACAAAATTTATGCAGTAACAGAAATAGTATAACTATATTTAAAGTATACCCTTGTTCATGTTGTTATCAGATATTAGACATTATCAGGCTCACTTCACATTTTTCTGCATGACCTATAGCTGATAATACCACAGCATGGTGCACTTCTTTGTAATTCAAACGATAAGATAGTAAACATAAGCATTTGATTGAGTCTGTGTTATGGCTACAGAAAGGTAGGTGACTGTTACACGGAGTGCTGGCAAACTTCTCCATATCAGAAAGTAAGTTTGACATTACACTGTTTTCTGTTTATCTTCATGGTGTTATTTTAGGCAGTTTCGAATTAGATGCATCATAAAACACATTTCACTCATCCACTGATTTATCAGCTACAATTGTGCATATTCTTGATCCTTCAATCTCATAGGAATTCTGGAGTGGAATGGATCCCATGACCACAGGCTTGTTGTAAGACTTGATCAATGAGGATTGTATGACCAGACTGTGGGTGCATCATGGCAGTGGATCCAGAGGGAGGTTCTGGGGGTGGCCCTCCATTGTATTGCTGGTCCAGTGCCAACTGAAATGAGGATTGGGTGGTCACTCTGTCATTATACCCAAATGGCTTGAATGATTTCTCATGTTTCAATCTCTGGTTTGACTGGTCCAGACGCAATCATGGGCCTCTGAGATGTAGCGAAAATATTGCTCATTGCAATGTAAAGCAACGTGCAGTGAATCACTCATGCAATGAAACAGTGTACAGGTTTTAGGTAAAGGCTATAAACCTGTACTGGGTTGACGGGGTAGCCTAGTTGTGCAAGTGTTCGCTCGTCATGCCGAATACCCAGGTTCAATTCCCCAAATGGGTACAATGTGTGAAGCTATTCGCTGGTGTCCCCTGCCATGATTTTGCTGGACTATTGCTAAAAGCGGCCCAAAACCATACGCACTCACTCACTCACTCACTCACTCACTCACTCACTCACTCACTCACTCACTCACTCACTCACTCACTCACTCACTCACTCACTCACTCACTCACTCACTCTACTACTTTTGTGGTACCTTGACAACAATGCATTACCCATGGAAACAGTATTACAGGGATGGAAATTATCTAAAAAAACAAACAAGCCCACAGGGCTATCGGAATTTGTTTCTGCTAGCTCTGCAAAAGATTACTCGTCCTGATTAAATAAGACTTTCAGAATTCTACCTTTAAAGATTCGAAAGGTGCCAGATGTACAGCATGGCAGTTTGACAGGGGATTGCTTACAGCATCAGTTAAAAAAACTTACAGGCCCTACGGGCTAGTAGGATCATAATATTATTAGCCAGTGGTAATTTCTACTAGCCTCCGGCCTACGGGCAAGCATTAATTTCTATCTATCCCTGCAGTATTACCAGCAATGTTGTACATTAGTGGGGACCTGGTGTTCATGAGGTTTGCTGCTATTGTCTTTGAATCTGGGATCAGCGAAATTTTAACTTTTGATATTAGTGTTTTGACAAGGAACTTTGATTTACATAATTTTCAACACTGATCAATGAATAAGGGATCTATTTCAGACACCCACACAAAACTTATTAATTTATTAATCAGAAGTATTCCTCTTGTCAGCAGACTTAACATCCAAATGGCACGCCCAAATATCTTTTTTTATGGTGTCACTTCATTTTTCGACATCTGACACTTCTGGGTTTATGAAGCTGACATTTCATGTATGTGATCCAAGAAAAGTTGGCTTGCTCTACGATTTGATCATGATTCAAAACTATATATTTTACATATCCTTACACAAAACAACACAAACACAAATTGATGAGTAGAATCTACCCCCCCATATTTTTTTAATATACATTTTTGTTAACGTTGGTCAGTTTTGTCAAGGTCCTAATAAAAAAATCTTTAAATTAGGCCTTAGGAGATTGCAACTCATTCTTGTCCCTTATAATAATTGTGTTCCTTTTAATTGATATGTCAGTTAATGTTAAATACATAACCAGATGAACTTGATCAAAAAGTCACCAGTTATCAATCCAAAAGGAAACTATGATAATACTCTTTGATTGGTAAGCCAAACTTTAGTTGTTTAATGCTTCTTGATGCATTCTTACAAAATCCCAAAAATTAGTAAGCTTATGCAAAATTACAAATCACAATCTCAGACATTATTCAATTCTTCAAGTATGTAAGACATGGATTTGCACACAGCATGTCATCTCTGAATAGTCTGTGATAACTTTTGTAAGTGTTTATACTTTGGATCGGCATGTATCTAGTGGATTTGTCTTAAGGACCAGATTACACACAGGTCAAGTGGAGATATATAGGGCTTTTACAGGCAGGGGAGTGATCATGTCAACAAACTCCCCCCTCCGCACTGACACAGCCAACTCACTTGTGTTGACACACGCCTACCACCTTGAATTGAACCTGGACCATTCTAGTTTAGCAGTGTGCCAGTGATACTCCCAGACATGTAGGTGTGGAAACTATAGCCCTGTCCATGATTGTGGTGTTCTGTTAGGAAAATGGCACGCCACTATGTTGGGACAGTCGTGACACCTTGTTGCTGGCTATCAGGGCTAATCAGTGTTAATTAACTAGGGTAGAGAAAAGGTGAAATGTCAGACCGTTGGATTTATTTCAGGTTTGTTCCTCATGCTCTATACATGTACTGTGAAGAAGTTACTTGTAACTTGTGTACGTCCATGCAACCTCACTTATGGTTGTTTTCAGTTTCAAATTGTGTGTGGTAAAGTCTATGAAGAGTATGTACATAATATATACTGGATACTCAACACTGAAAGAATGGTACATAAGGAAGAATTACTGGTGTTACTTTTAGGCTGACAGACCCACCTCAATTTCAAACTCATAGGTTACTGGGCATATTTTACCTCATTTCTACCCCTGATTCATTCAACTTGACATTTTGAAAATATTGTTGGTGTATCACAGTGTCTTCATATGTTTTATTCATAAAATAATTAATCATAGTAGTTCAAGTTCAATTTGAATTTTGCTTCTAAAACTAAATTAATCAATATACACATTGTATGTATGGTTGAAATGTTCGAATAGTAAAGTGACTGAGTGGGAGTGTTTCACATGGTGGTTCACACTATTGTTTTTCTATCCAATTTTAAGATGATATAATGCAGATAATTTTGAAGGTTTACATTATGATTTTACTTTTGTAGTTACAGATATTACTGTGTGAACTGGAAAATGCCAACATTCAACAGAAATCTCTTCAATCAACTCTAATAGAACAAAAAGTAAGATCTATGTGATTTTTGTTTTGTCATATCTATTTGATCACTTCTGTTTTGTTAGATTTTGTTGTAATTAACGAATCAAGCAGCAATTGTTATCTAGTTTTTTCATTCTTTTTATATTGGTTTATGAACTTCTTACTTTGATTCTGAATTTTTTTTGAGAAAAGGAACACAATCATGAAACTGTTGTCACAATGCATAATAGTTACAACTTACCATGGACTAAAAAGTTTTAAAATACTGAGAAACCTGAGTACTGAGAATGAAAACAAATAACAGCACGACCTTTCGAGTGTCTTACTCACATCTCACCTTGTTGTTTATGACTATGTCCATTATCAGTTTAAGATGTAATCGGTTACCTTATGAAGGTAATAAATATCCCCAATAAACACGACAGTACTTGCATGTCAGCTTGGTGTGCTGGGCTAAAGAGCAAGAAACATGTTAGTGTTTGTGTATACTGAGTCAAGAGTGCTTACAGTAACTGCATGTACGGGTAGTATTGTTAGTCACACATTGTGGCTGACTAAAATAGATGTCAAATTACTTCTGGTATATGCCTTAATGATTTCTACCACTTCCTCTTAAACACTTCACATTCCTGAAGTCACATAGTTGTTGTTCAAGGAGAGGTAGGACCATCTCATATGAGTTTTTCAGTGGGACTGTGTTTGATTTGGGTATCAGCCATATGCTTCATAGGTCAGTAAGGTCCTGTTCAATACAATATGAGAAACAAGGAAAATAGAGCATAACTGTCCCTTATATTTTAATCCAGTGGGTCATCATTAACTGTAGATGATAAGTGCAGGGATAGATTTATGCAGAGGGTTTAAGGTCTAATATGGCATGAAAATCTGGTGAATGACCTCTTTTCTTTTAGTTTTAGAAATGTTTTATTTGTGGTTTAAACTATAAATGTTTGGCTTAGGACACAATTTGAATACTTTAATTTGAAGATTTACTTGTCTTTGCTTATGCTGCAATCTCGGAACTTTGTTCAGTCCATAGATTGAAATGGAAGTTTGGGTATGATGTTCGGTGATTTATTTTTAATGAGGGACGTAAAACACATTGGTAATCACATGTGTTGTAGATTTTTATTTTTTTATTAACATTGTGACTGTCATTATACATGTTATATGTATTAGCATAATTTCAGTCAAAAGGAATTGTATATTCAAAGAAATTGATGTTTCTAAATCAAGAGAAATATTATGATTTGTAGGAGAGTTGACCAAGGGTGCCTGATGAATTATTAGTTAGACATTTTAATTAATGCTACAAATCAATAGCGTGTCAGACGTCTTTTCAATAAAACATGCAAACCTTATACTTCTTACCGAATGTAATAGGTGAGCTATCACTGACTGCATTGACCCATGAATTGATTTGCCTTATTCAGCGGGAAGGTTTCTTAACTAATGCATGTATAGAGAAATTAATAATCTGCCACTATAATTTTGTAATTACTTAATGAGATTGGAAAATCAAAAAACATGTTTGTCAGGACAAATTTCATTTGCCTTGTAAATACTCAGATTAGGTCAAATTGATATAACCAATTCGACCAAACAAAGGTCCTGATTCAGGGATATAGATATGACTGTATCTGCATTTCTTTATTTGCAGCAACTTTTAAAGAAACTAGCAGAGGAGCGAACAATGCATGAAGTCACTCTGTCTGAAGTAAGTACAGTTAATATCAGAAATGGAATTTCAATTGTCAAACCAATCCAAGTGTTAGTGTTTACTTTGACAATGAAGAATATCATTATCATTCTATACTTCTGCAGCATCTTCTTAGAATGAAGGGTTGACATGAATTCTATTCAACAGACTACAAGTCACTTCAGATTAGTGGTTTAAGCAACATAACTTGATGTTTGGTAAAACAAGTACTTAAGACTAGTGGCTTGGAAGAAATGCACTGTTGAGGCAACACTGTTATTCTTTATGTTGACTGCGACAAAATATTAAAGTTATATTTTCAATTAATTTTCACCTTTCTTCAGTGTATATTATTTTTTAGGGGGAAATTACAAATTGAAGTATATTGTGACTTCTTCTTTCAGAAACAAACACAAATTCAAGATCTCGAGATTTGTGTAGATGAGCTCAATAAAATGAATGAGGTATGTGATTACTTATTCATAAAAGTTACGCCACTGTTCCACAAAGCTCTTAACGTGCAGACGGTTGTAACCTTAAAGTATGAGAGTTATGATCACCTTAGTGCTAAGATCGCTTTGTAGAAGGGGTCCAGGATTGTTAGTGTACTGGCTGCTGTGTTAAAGCTGTACTACCGGTGATGGCGGTATGAACAACAGTAACTCACTCATTCTTCAGTCACCTACTCGATTCAAGGGCTATTTGATATACAGCAAAATGCTCAAGAAAACATTAATAGCTAATGGAAGACCTCTGGTATATAACTGTTCATATCTGATCACGAAGCATTTTCCATGGAGGTTGTCTCCCTTAGATCATGTGAGTACCTATATATTCATGGTAGGGGCGTTCTGTGTTATATAGTGAGTGACAAGTAGCATGGTCTTAGTCACAATCTTGAAAGCTACGTGTCCCTTGACTAGAATACTAGATTTTAACAAACTAAGTGTTCACAAGATTACAATCTGGGTTTAAACATTAAGGAATAATCATAAAATGACCATTACATTGCCTTCTGTTTGAAAGTGTTTTCTCATCATACCATATTTGCAATATTATTTTAAATATGTAACTTATCTTCATAAGCATGTCCTTCAAAGTGTGAAAATTTACGCGACAGTCCATACTTTCTTGTATATAATAAGATTATTTTATTGACAACAGCAGCGTAATTGCTTTGTAACTTTTATAAAAAACGGTTTAGTTTCATCGACGTTTGAATCACTACTGCTCGTTCCCTAAAATGACTGTATCTTCATGAAGGCTTTTTCATTTCTCCTTATTATTGTGAGAATGGTATGTGTAGTTAACTTGCAATTCATAGAATTTTGACCTTGATAAGGTAAGACCTGAACAACACGACTTTGAAAAGAAAATTGTATTCCTTCTTATGGTTTAAATCATTGTGATTTTATCTTGAATAATTTTCTTTTAAATATTTAAAAATCTAAGTTTACAAATAGTTATGAAATCTTATTCTCAAGAACCACAAGGTTCTTCATAATTCAGGTGTAGCTCCATGTCTTTCATTGACTTTGTACCTTATATAACTGCAATGAAATTGTTCGATCCCTACTTTTCAATAAACCTTTCATAGTCTTATCCCAGCCAGACAAAAACATCAGATGATGTGGGATTCTGTGAAATGATACATGTAATGTGATGTGATTCACTGCTGAGGCCACACTAAGAAGTCAAGTGATTTCTTACATCTGAGGATCAAGTCTGTCCAAGAATCACCAGTGGGTCTTGAATTCTTGCTTGAACTGTCTGTTTGATTTCTTTCTGTAGGAATTGAAATATGAACATGACGATCTACAAATGCAGTTTATACAAGCTCAGCAGGAAATAACCAAGTAAGTGTACAGCTTTCTGGTTGTGAGAGTAATGACATAATGTGTTATTTCATTGTAGGGAATTGCAAATACATTTGGTCGATTATCAGCTTAATTCCCCTGAAATATCAAGAAGAGCAGGCTGGTCCTTCAAGACAAAAATAATCCACACAAACCCTTTTGCTCAATACCTTGGCTCACTATAGTCCATACACTAAGATAAAACACAGCTTCCAGATTATATCTTCTGCTAATACACAAGCCATATACTGATTGTAATTTGAATTTCAGAAAGTAATGCTATTGACAAAGTTAGGAAATCATATTTACATAACTTAATTTGATTCATGTTGTCAAAAATGATCATAATTACCCACAAATCATGTTGTATACTTTTGCAACTATTTTCATGTTCTTGTTCTATAACAAAGTTGACATTGAATGTGTAGTACATCCTGTGCCTTCCTTATGCAACTGACTGAGTGACTCAATTTCTTATTGTAAAGGAAATCAAACAAGCTTCTTTTTTTTCTTTCAGGGAATTACTGTTTTATGGAAGCCTATTACTGCCACAGTCAAAACAAAATTTCATCTACATAGATGATACTTACATCTATGTAGATGTTACTTTCATCAACGTAGAAGATACTTACATCTATGTAGAAGATACTTACATCTATGTAGATGTTACTTTCATCTACGTAGAAGATACTTACATCTATGTAGAAGATACTTACATCTATGTAGATGTTACTTTCATCTACGTAGAAGATACTTACATCTATGTAGATGTTACTTTCATCTACGTAGAAGATACTTACATCTATGTAGATGTTACTTTCATCTACGTAGAAGATACTTACATCTATGTAGATGTTACTTTCATCTACGTAGAAGATACTTACATCTATGTAGATGTTACTTTCATCTACGTAGAAGATACTTACATCTATGTAGATGTTACTTTCATCTACGTAGAAGATACTTACATCTATGTAGAAGATACTTACATCTATGTAGATGTTACTTTCATCTACGTAGAAGATACTTACATCTATGTAGAAGATACTTACATCTATGTAGATGTTACTTTCATCTACGTAGAAGATACTTACATCTACGTAGAAGATACTTACATCTATGTAGATGTTACTTTCATCAACGTAGAAGATACTTACATCTATGTAGATGTTACTTTCATCTACGTAGAAGATACTTACATCTATGTAGATGTTACTTTCATCTACGTAGAAGATACTTACATCTATGTAGAAGATACTTACATCTATGTAGAAGATACTTACATCTATGTAGATGTTACTTTCATCAACGTAGAAGATACTTACATCTATGTAGATGTTACTTTCATCAACGTAGAAGATACTTACATCTGTAGATGTTACTTTCATCTACGTAGAAGATACTTACATCTATGTAGATGTTCCTTTCATCTACGTAGAAGATACTTACATCTATGTAGATGTTACTTTCATCTACGTAGAAGATACTTACATCTATGAAGATGTTACTTTCATCTAAGTAGATGATACTAACATCTATGCAGATGTTACTTTCATCTATGTAGAAGATACTTACATCTATGTAGATGTTACTTTCATCTACGTAGAAGATACTTACATCTATGTAGATGTTCCTTTCATCTACGTAGAAGATACTTACATCTATGTAGATGTTACTTTCATCTACGTAGAAGATACTTACATCTATGTAGATGTTCCTTTCATCTACGTAGAAGATACTTACATCTATGTAGATGTTACTTTCATCAACGTAGAAGATACTTACATCTATGTAGATGTTACTTTCATCTACGTAGAAGATACTTACATCTATGTAGATGTTACTTTCATCTACGTAGAAGATACTTACATCTATGTAGAAGATACTTACATCTATGTAGAAGATACTTACATCTATGTAGATGTTACTTTCATCAACGTAGAAGATACTTACATCTATGTAGATGTTACTTTCATCAACGTAGAAGATACTTACATCTGTAGATGTTACTTTCATCTACGTAGAAGATACTTACATCTATGTAGATGTTCCTTTCATCTACGTAGAAGATACTTACATCTATGTAGATGTTACTTTCATCTACGTAGAAGATACTTACATCTATGAAGATGTTACTTTCATCTAAGTAGATGATACTAACATCTATGCAGATGTTACTTTCATCTATGTAGAAGATACTTACATCTATGTAGATGTTACTTTCATCTACGTAGAAGATACTTACATCTATGTAGATGTTCCTTTCATCTACGTAGAAGATACTTACATCTATGTAGATGTTACTTTCATCTACGTAGAAGATACTTACATCTATGTAGATGTTCCTTTCATCTACGTAGAAGATACTTACATCTATGTAGATGTTACTTTCATCTACGTAGAAGATACTTACATCTATGTAGATGTTACTTTCATCTACGTAGAAGATACTTACATCTATGTAGATGTTACTTTCATCTACGTAGAAGATACTTACATCTATGTAGATGTTACTTTCATCAACGTAGAAGATACTTACATCTGTAGATGTTACTTTCATCTACGTAGAAGATACTTACATCTATGTAGATGTTCCTTTCATCTACGTAGAAGATACTTACATCTATGTAGATGTTACTTTCATCTACGTAGAAGATACTTACATCTATGAAGATGTTACTTTCATCTAAGTAGATGATACTAACATCTATGCAGATGTTACTTTCATCTATGTAGAAGATAGTTTCATTCACGTAGATGATACTAACATCTATGTAGATGTTACTTTCATCTACGTAGAAGATAGTTTCATCCACATAGAAGCTACAATCATCCATGTAGATGATACTTACATCTACATATGGATACGTTCATCTGCGTATATGATACTTACATCCACGTAGATGATACTACCATTGATTTATTCACTTTTGTGAAAACTTCTTTTCGTGTAATCGACAATAGTTGCAGGTCAGATATATATAACCTCTGGCTTAATTAATAATCACTGATTTGTTTGACTTTCTATTTTGACATGGCTTTTTGAGGTATTATCTAAACATTAAGGAAATTCAATCATGAAGGGGTGAGAATCACTCAAACTATGTACATGTAAGTATCTACTATGATAATCATCTAAGTTGATGTAAATATCTTCTACGTAGATGAAAGTATCATCAACGTACATGTGAGTATCATCCACATAGATGAAAATGTTCTCTAGGTAGATGATAAGACTGTGACACTAATATGCTACCATACCGTTAGATGTGTATATATGTTTTATGCATTCATTTCTGAACAAATTGTCAGTTTGTTTTTTTCAACTGAAAATGATGAGAAGATCAATGACCACTTTGCACCTCTCCATGTTCCAGTTACCACATGAAGGATGACAAGCCCAACATGTCCAACTCCTCCGGGTGTGTCGATGACCTGGAGGTTGAGGGGGAGGTGCTGGAGGCAGAACATGTCTCATCTCACGAGTCTACAGCATACAGCACTCCTGTAAAACAGACCTCTATACACAATGAGATCAAGGAAATGGTGAATATTCCCTAAAAAGAAAACTCAACAGGAATTAGTACATTTTAGGGAAACAGATATCGACTGAAGACAGGTGTGGATGTGGTTGCAGTGACTCGGCAGCAGCAGTCACCTGCACTATGAGGAACCTCACACTGTGCAGCAACAGTGAATTAGTCAATGAAAGGCAGGAAGCCAGTATGAATTATTACTTAATTTTTAGCTCACCTTACCGAAAGTCATTTGAGCATGTGTCATGGGCTGTTTGTCAGGCATCATTGATGTCATGGTCAGTGAACGTCTTCTGCCCTGAAACCTAAATTTAACGCCAGAATTTGCTTAAGATGTTCAAATATTATTTGCAGTATGGCCACCACATTGTTTATACTATCAACCACTTGCCTGTTGCCTAGCATAAGTGTTAGGGAAGGTTGAAGATCAAGGTCATTAAGTGAGGTGAGGTGAAATGGGGTTTAACATCGCGTCCAAGATTATTGTACATATATAGCAACATAGATGGTCATTGTGCGCACAGTATCTGAAGTGTTTAAGATTGAGATTCTATTTATATTTAAAATGAATGACCTCTAAGATTGGTCTTATTGAAGAAAATTCTCAGTGCCCTCTCATGAATGTCTAGGTCACCAAAAATCTTATTGTCATCACATTGAGCATGTGTTTTTCCTATACTGGAGTTGAAGTAATAAATCAGAGGTACTGATGACTTTGTTATTAAGGTGTCTACAGGAATAGGACCTTCTGTTTTTAAGTTTAACTGTATTGGGCGTGTGTTTTTACAAACTGGAAGTGCATATGAATTTCTTATTTAGGTAGCTAGAGTCTAGGGTTAGCGTATTGACTCATAAATCGTATTGCAATATATTGCAATACGAAGAGCTTATTGCGATACATATTCCAATATGTATTGGGGCTCATATGACACATATTTGTTCTGTTTAAATGGTACTTCTTCATCCAATAATCCAGACTTAAGATTGCCAGATTGATAGTATGGATAACAAGACCTATTACGTAATCGATATAGAATGTTGATGTAAACAGTGTGGAGCGTGTGCTGTTTACATGGATTAGATAGGAACCCAGTCCATCCAAATGCCTCAAGATAGTAGATATAATTTATATTATCATATATTAATTCTTCTGTGACTGTAGGGGTGGTAGTGCGGTGGTTTAAGGGTAGATTCTGGAAGGCCCCAGAATCTACCCGGGTATACTTTGAAGGGGGGGTATACTTTCAGACTTTACACCGGTGTAAAGTCTGAAAGTATACCCCACCTTCAAAGTATACCCGGGGAGATTCTGGGGCCTTCCAGAATCTACACCGGGGTAGATTTTGGGAGCTCCCAGAATCTACCCCCCTTTCCAAGAATCAACCCCGAGGGTATACTCTGGGAGCTCCCAGAATCTACCCCGGGGTATAATCTGGGAGCTCCCAGAATCTACCCCTGGTTATAACTATAATCTAGGAGCTCCAAGAATCTACTGCAGCCCTTACTTACTTACTTTGGAGATTTAACATGCACTTTCCGACTGATGCGTATTTCGCACACTGGCCCGGCCAGGCCATTTAAGGTTATTTGTTTGCCTGCCTTAGGGCTTGCAGTCCTCTTAGGGAGTCGGTAAGTATTAGGATTTTTTTGTGGTTTTGGGATTCTTGATTATGGAGGGCAGTCTTGATCTCTCCTGGTCAATTGCTGTAACAACATTGTCATCTCATTAAGTTTACATAAATGCCTATTCAGTACACATCTAATTAGTTTTAAAACATGCACTTCCTGTTCATTTATATTGAGAAGACAAAGGTGGGAGCACCAGTTTTTCCAAAGAGTATACATTACAATTATCTTTATATAGATGATAAATGAACATGATTGTACATGAAGTTTTCTTTTGGGGGATGCATCTCAACTCAGTCTTGATCTCTCCTGGTCAATTGCTGTAACAACATTGTAGGTAGGTAGGTCTATTCACAAAGCATATTAAAGATTATTCAATAACATAAGTGTAAGACATTTCCTCACACAATTCTCAACACCAACTTTCTAACTTACAAATTGATGATGACTACAACGAGTTAAAGTCAATGTGATTTGTAAGATATTTTTTTATTAGTTTAAACAATATTTATTTCTTCTTTGCATGTATAAAACAACATTTTGAATTTTTGGATTCGATAACAATTTATTACCGGTATTATCTACACCAGGAGAGATTTTGGGAACTCCCAGATTATATCCCCTGGGGTTAGATTCTTGGAAAGGGGGGTAGATTCTGGGATATGCATGTTTTAAAACTAATTAGATGTGTACTGAATAGGCATTTATGTAAACTTAATGAGATGACAATGTTGTTACAGCAATTGACCAGGGGAGATCAAGACTGAGTTAGATGCATCCCCCAAAAGAAAACTTCAAGTACATTCATGAAATAAAAATGTTTAAATCAAACAGGGCTGCAGTAGATTCTTGGAGCTCCTAGATTATAGCTATAACCCGGGGTAGATTCTGGGAGGAGCTCCCAGATTATACCCCGGGGTAGATTCTGGGAACTCCAAGATTATACCCCCTGGGGGTAGATTCTGGGAAAGGGGGGTAGATTCGGGGAAGTCCCCAAAATCTACCCCGGGGTACATTCTGGGAGCTCCCAGAATCTACCCGGGTATACTCTGAAGGGGGGTAGATTTTGGCACCTTACACCAGGTTCGATTCTCCCCACATGGGTACAATGTGTAAAGCCCATTTCTGGTGATATTGCTGGAATATTGCTAACAGCACTGTAAAACAATACTCATTCACTCACTCAAACCCACTCAAACCCACTCAAACTCACTCACTCACTCACTCACTCACTCACTCACTCACTCACTCACTCACTCACTCACTCACTCTGTGACTATTGGAAAATATCAATACACAAGGCTTGTATTGCGATACATGTGTGTTGCTGAGGGCCATGTTGCAATATACCGGTATACCAGTTATATCGCACACAAGAGACATTTGATTGTTTGTTTCATATTGGTTTACCATTGGGCATTTGTCTTCTCAAACCAGAAGAACTGTCATTGAACTGGAACTCTTATAACTTTCCAACAGTAATGTAGCTAGAGGCATGGAATGTTCTGTTTCAAAGGGGTACCACATTAGACAATATTAGGGATCATAGATGAACAAAGAAACTGAACAAGTGTGGACAGAGACCCCTTCAGCATAAAAACATGGGGTCATTTTATAAACGTATGGGGCCACACTCTGAGATCATAAAAAAAACGTTAGTAATCTGAAACACAGGTTGCTGATGCTAGCAATACATAGAATATTTCTTTCTCAGAGGTAACGTTATGTATTGCTGCAACAACGTCTGATGTCATATATTAGTCTCAACACCTTGTTTGAAATCACCGTCAGCATGTGTCTTCAGGGTACTCCTTCCAAATTAATACTTTAGCTATGTCATTGAATTAGATTTCACATGATTTATGCAAAGCTGACATGTCATAGTATTTCTTTCTGAGTTATGCTGTAACCACATGTAGTCACGACGCCAGGTTCATTGGAAATTTCTACCTTTCTCAGTCTGTCACTGTCAGGTGCGCCATGAAAGACTTCTGTGTTTCGCTAATGTTACCTGTGGTTGGCGATTCTGCAATACGGCAGTCATTCAAAGCAGAAACATCTTTGGCATTATCAGAAGATGGTATAGGCTGTGTTGACAACGAAAAGTAATTTAAAATAGATCTATCTCTGAACATTTTTCCGACTGTCCGCTCATGGATTTTGCTGTTTGGCCATGGTTTATTAGTTACGCTAATGAACCAATGTAAATCGTCAATGTGACTACAATATTTGCACAAATGTGTTACTCTGATTGGACCGTTTGGAACTTTCAGACAATGAAAGGCGCAGATAACAAAATGAGACGCGAAAAAGTGAAAGTTTGCGTTCAATAATTGAAACAGCTGTGCGAGATGTAAAATATTTTTGGAGACAGTCAGTGGCCCCCATAATTATTTAAAATAAACCTAGCTAAAACAAAAAAATTATTGCGGGAATCCTGAGAGGCTTCAGCAGAACTCCGGATGAATATTGGTAGATATTGGTGAGGTTAACTTTCAACTTACTGGATGAACTCCAACTGGTTCAGGATACATGTTTCTGGTGGGAAAGTTTGGGGTCAATCAGTAAAGGTTGATGAAGTCTGTTTCCGGTTTTGCATGTAAATCAAACACCTTTTTTGTTTGTACTGCTGACTGTGCTGTTAGATAACACTCACACATTCACTTTTATTTTTAATCACTTGTATCTTGCTTGAATATTAGTTGTGTGGGTTGAGGTAGAGAGCCAGTAGCTGCGCTTGGTCTATCTTCAGCTTGAAGACTCTCTGCACCTGCCCTCCCCACTTAGTGACAAGGAGCTTCAGGAGAGCATCCTGGCCCAGTCCTTCTCCTCCGGGGGCGACTCCTGGACAACAGAAGATCTCATAGACCTTGAGGTTGCTTCCTTCATGCCTTCAAATGGAGATAATGACAAGATCAAAACACTGGATGGTATAAAATTGGTAAGTCTTTGTATCACTGAAAAAATGTTCAGACATGATTCTATGAGATTTAAGCTTTATACCTGGTAATTTCCCAGCTAATGATATTCTCTTGTTCCCTCAACGTAAAGGAATGATTGATGTATAGTACAGGTGGGGAAATCAATGAGAATTTTGTTTTAATCTGTATTGCTGAAGTTCCAAACCACAGTCAATGTGAATGTCATGTTAGCTCAAGTGGTTGAAAAACAACTGAAGGAACCTGAGTTCTAAGACGATGCATCTCACTGTGCAGAATTCCGTTCCTCAGTGGTGCCAAGATCCACTGGTCACTGGTTAGAACTCCTGAAAATGATCTTTGCTCTGTCAGCACCAAACCCATGCTCACAAGATTAAATAAAGTAATAAATGTCTTTTTTTATGTACTGAACTTTCCTTCGAGAATGAGGGGCCAGATGGCCCAAATGGTCTCAGGGGTTGCATCCCCCTTTTGCATCCATTCTGTATTTTGTTGTTGACTCTGTTTCTACCCTTAAATGTTGATTCACCTTTTAATGATTAAATCTAGTGATAAAGCATGGCACATGGGCATTTGTTCATGTACCTACAGGTATATGCAGTCCTGCCACTTAAAGAACTTATCTATGTGCAGTTTAGTATGTTATGAGTGAGTAGTGGTCTTGAACACTTGTCTGATATATTTTAGTTTTTAGCTCCTTAATCTGGTGATTTCACATAACAATATTAATCATGTCATCTTCCCGAGGCAAGGGAGTTAACTGACTATAAAAGTCCAGTTACCGCCTGCCAAACTAGGCTGGAATTATGGAGTTATATTTTGGCTGGACAAATGAGTCTATGCACAGTCAAATCTAACTCGCATAACGAAATCAAACATCCGGTTTGTAAACTTCCATGCAGCTTTTTGGCGATTGCAAGATAAGAAAAGAATGTATACCGTCAACTTAGTGTCAACAGATATTTTACAAATCTTTTCATGTTTTTAATCAAGATGCTCATGTCATTTGATGCACTTCACGAAGTGAGACCTGTTTTATTACAATATAGATCTTGATTGTCTTCCTCACTGGGCACCGTCATTTTGTTTGATTGGTTAATAGGAGGGACATAACTCGTAATAGCCACTGGTGGTGCTACGATTGAACCAAGAAATTCCGGCTAATTCGGCAAGGGTGGAAACTGGAATTTTACAGTCAGTTAATTTTCTTGCCTAGGGAAGTTGGAAGCATGTGTGAGAGAAGTAAACAGTAGATTTTGACAGCCATGCAATGCTATAGCATATGTGATCAAATAATCCAAAAGGTTGTAATGTTCGTATATAAATTCTGAACCTGATACATGTTTACTTATTGAGTGTGTAACAGATCAAGGAATACCAGTTAAGACCAATCCTGTGGGAATTGTGAATCACGATGAAGATGTCTATCAAAATGATTGAGCATGTTCTCTACTCCAGATCATATGAGACTGCCATTCATAGTTTTATATCATAATGATGAATTATGTTATTCAGTAATTCAAAAATTGACTCCAGGTTAAGAAATTCAAGGAACAGCAGGATTCATTTACACAGCAAATCGATGAAGTGATCAGTGCGGTGGATGCAAACCCAGACAGGGGAAGCTACTCTAGACGGCTCTTTACTGACAGTGATGGTGAGGAGGAAGCGATTTCCTCCAATGGAATATCAAATGAAGAAAATCTCCATTCAGAGAGAAGGTATATGATGCATTGTAATACACAGACATCAGCATAGAAGCAAAAACAATACTGTATATGTTTTCAACATGCTAATTTTCAGAAAAACCTGGATGGGTAAACAAGCTCCACATGATTATATTAATGCTGCTCCAGCAACTAAACAATTACAGAATGCAAATTGGCCCCCAAAAAATATATGCAGAAACATCAGTTGGCGTATTATTGCTAAAAACCTAGTTTGCTATGTCTGTAATTAAAGTTAAAACAGATACAATATCCATAAAAGATAGTTCTAGAGTTTGCAGCCAGCTTCCTAATTATATGGCATTAAGCTATTTCTAGTTTGCTTGTTTTAATGATGAAGTTATGAAGAATTAATGAAGTGCATTTTCAGTTTGGTATCAGCGGGAACAGTCAGATCTGACTGAGAAAATTCTGTTGAATTTATTTTCATTTTATGGCCTGTGGAAAGTAGGAAGTGGGAAGCTCAGTTTGTTACAATTCTTTTAGAAGTCATAGGTTAACATGATGTTCTGCATTGAACCTTCTCATCATGTTTATATGAGGCCTCTGGGAAAACGTGTGGCAAAATGTGATTCAATATGCTCCATTGCTCAAAGGTTTACATGTGAGGCAGAAAATGCACTAACTGGAAGTCCACATGCAGGATATTATGGTCATTTAAAAAAAATATGTGTCTTTTATTTCAAACAAGCAATGAAAAACATTGATGAAGCTGTTTTCATGTGCACCAGTTTTCCTGATGAAGCGATGGGAGGTGATATATGGATTTGAAAATGTGGTTGTGGTTAGCATGTGCATATGCACATTCACAACAGTAAAGGTCTAGTTATTGCTTTGTCATTTTTTAAAGAGACTCAGAGTATCATTAATAATAATAATAAGATACATATATAATGAATAGTAAAATATAATATGTATAGGTTGTTGCACTCGGGGAATTTTGAATAATTTTGCAGTGTCAGGAAATTTGTATAGCTTGAGGATCAAATTTTCAGCCATGATTTAAATAAAAGCCTCCATCAGGAAATTTTGCAATTTGAGCTAAAGTTTGGAATATGTTTAAGAGAAGAAGTGTCAAGGAATGTATTGCACTGTACATTATTGGAAATTGGAAGGCTATATTGTTTACTTGTGTATGTTTTATGCTTTAATAGGTTTCATTATGCTGTTGTTTCAGGTACCAAAGGTTGATACTCGTTTTACAGAAGCTAAAAGGTAATTTGGCATATTTGAAAACATTCACAATACAATGTCATGTTCTGCAGAAACAAAAAGGTGTCATCCTGATTTTTTATATCAAACATTAGATATGCAGATCTTACTTTACATGAGAAAAATGCTACTGCTAAGTTGACTTGGGAAGTAGTATAGAATCATATGACTGAAGAGTGAGTATAGGTTTATGCCACTTTATGCCACTAATTTCAAACATAGTATTTCGTCCTTAGTCTTTATTAAGTTGCTATGGAAAAGATAAAATAATCTGCTTTTTATATAATTTTCCTTAAAACAGAAACTTAAGACCCATCTGTCTAGTGTGAATGTCTATGGTAACCAACATTGAAGATTGGATGGCCACAATGACCAGGCTCTGTGTCAGTAACCCTGATGTAGGGCGTATTCTTACCCCGACTACTGGTCACACTTTTCTCACACTAATGATGCTGCAGGCATCATATCACTTTTCTATTTGTGTCTGTGACTTAAAACACTATTCACTTCACTAATAGGTCACTTTTTTTGTAAAGGTGAAAATGAGCGTCTAATACGGCTCCATGACGAGGCAGTGGAGAGTGTATCCAACTGGGAGATGACCGTGGACAGCACGCTGGACAACAGGCTGACTGTGCTGCGAGATGTTTTGTTGGAGGAGAGGGCTCTAAAAAAACAGCATCAGCGTGAGGTGAGTAGATGCATTTGGGTGGGTGCAGGGGCAAGGGGAGCACAAGGCTCATGTTGCAGGTTATCTTGTATTACATGGTTTGCAGATCCACCAATTAAAATATCTTAAATGAGGAAAATAATAATGTGAGAAGAGTCTTCCAACAGAGTTTGAAGATAAATACTGCAATAAATAGACTTCATTTAGGTCAATAAGGAATTGTAAGTAACTCTTGGACATAGTTGTTTTTTCTTGTCTTTATTTAACCCAACTGACAATGTTTACATATGTTTCTTTATATGCATCATTGTTTTCTAAATCTCATTTTTACTTGGACCACTGAATAAAAACCTGGAAGCCAAATGATCTAGTAAAAGAACTAAGCCTATATGTCTGTGAGCCAGTGACTTTGCTGGAGATAAATGGCATATAGAACATTCCAATCCATTTTCTTTATTTTCTTATGTGACACATCTTCAGTATAATAACTCCCTGTGAGGATTCTAGGGCAGAATAGGTCACCATTTTCCCATGCTTGTTGTAAGAGTTGACTAAATGTGGTTACTATTATGACTTGCCTGATTGTGTATCTTGTACCGCAAAACCAAAAGGCATATCACTGCTCATGACATCAACCATAGGTTTGCCTGGTCATCGCCACATAGAAAATGTAACATAACATGTATTCCTGAATGCTGTATAGTAATTAACCAACTATTATTCAATGAAGCATTTGATTTTCAGTTGATTTTACAATAAATAATCAGTCTTGAAAGTTTTAGAAATTCCGATCTCTAGCTGTAAATATGAAAAGTATGGATGAGATATGGCGCCATATATAGCAGGTATTTTGCTGTAATTATTCTGGAAATAATGGAAGTCTGCTGTGTAAAGTTATTATATGATATGATCCTTTAGGATTCATGTTCAAATGTTCATGTTTTTAAATCATGTCACTGTTATGTGCCTGTCACCTTGTTTCAATTAGGAAGGATGTAAACTACTTTCAATAGATTTAGTCAAGTCACATTGGACATGTTAAGATCCTATCATTTCTTGTTAATATAACACCAATTACAAGAGAACTTTGGAATGTCTTTGTAATGTTGGGTCCAGAAAGCAAAGTAAAACATGGTTTTGTAAACAAGTTGAGTTGTTGAAGCATATAGAATAATAGGGCAGTCAGTTGGCATTGGGCATGTTGGGTATCAATTCAGATTTCATCATTCATTTGTTCGGTCAGTGGGTGGGTCGGTCATTCATTTATTTTTATATCACATTGCATGTATCTCCACAATCACTCATGAACACCTCCACATGATCTTTGGTCTAGGGAAACTATTCAATCAGAAAATGCTATCTATTGTCAAAATGACATCAATCATTACCATTATTCTTTGAAATAGTATGATCCATGAAGATATCACTAGGCTCTGTCCAGATCTATCCAGCATCATAATCAGATATTTCTTCTTTTATTTCTTTTACTGTATAACTTTGAGTCTTGATATGGTAAAAAATATAGATGAAGCCGTTAATCGTATTGATTTTTTTTATGGTAAATGTTTTTATTGTTAAAAAATCATCCTGAAATGTTACATTGCACATTTGAGCAGAAGGTTACTTTGATCATCAGCTTGTACCCACACTGTAAGAGGGATGTTTGGTTGAAATATGTGCCCTCCATGCGATATTGATGTTTGAATTATTCATCATTCAAACATATCAGTCTTCATGAAAAAGATTCAGTCTTCTCCCAAACCACAGAATCAATATGGTTTGACCCTAGCATGCACAATCTTATTAATGGTCTTTGCTAAAAAAAGACAAAGATTTATTTCAATCCAATTTTCTGCCCACAGATGATTCTTTGAACTAATCCTGAAAGCAGTATCCTGAAACCGTTTTTTAAGACTTCTTTGGGCCATTGTACAATTTAGAAAATTGAAAACATTAAAGGCATTCTTTTCATTCGGAGTGAATAGCATTCACTCTTCCAAACATTATCTTTTACAATGTAGAATACAAAAAGTCTCTATTATAGCAAGACTATATTGTGGACCTTTACCCACAAGCAAACTAACCATCTCTGTGGTGTAGTGGACAGAGCATCTGACAGGAGAATGGAATGTCGGCGGTTCATGTCCCTGGCCAGGTTACCAAAAGACATTAAAAGATGGTTCTTGCAGTAAAACAGTCTTGAGTGTGATATTAAACCCTATTTCACCTCACTAGCAAACTAGCGTTTCCTGTTCTTCTCTATCTCAAAGACATGTTAAAGTAATGCTTATAACCTGTTTCCTTGTTTGATAATGAACGATTTTGTTATGACCAAACTATTTTACACTATTAATTTAGGATATACTTCAGACATAAATGGACATACTAATAGTTTCTGTCCAAAATGGTGTGGTGTTAAAAAAATGATCTATCATTATTGCCTTATTGATCACAATTGTCATTCAGATTAGATGCTGGAAGGAATTTCATCTGAAAGAAACCTTATTGACTCCATCTGATGAACAGGTCATTTCTGTTACCGCTTGCAATTGAAACATGAAAGAGTTTCTTTCAGTCTGCAGCAGTGGCATTTAATTCATCAGATGAAGCTCTCTAGTTCTGTGTCACCTACATCTACTTTGTGCCGGAACATTTATCAAATGTATGTCATTGGTAGTAGTTCTTACCTTACAATGTCCAACACCGATATTAAACAATAAGTATTTTGAAAAGTTGCTATGTATAATAACTTTGTTGACATATTGTAGAAAAACTTCATGATAGAAAAAATAGTGTTTTCATTTTACTAATTTTGTGAGATTCCTGCAAGTTTTTATGTGAAAGGACTTCGTATTGATGTCGTTTAAGCCTTATTTAGCCTAGATGGAATTAAAAATTGAATCTTCTGTAATAGTTTACCAAAAGAGTCAACATTTTTTCATTTTGTCATAAGGCTGTTTTGCTGTGTAATATCACAAGCCACTAGCAATACATATGGACTTGTCACCAAAGCTTCACAATCATGTGTATTTTAGTGGCATAATGGTATGCCACAGATTAATTGTATTGTGAAAGTGCATATATGCATTCAGAGGAAGATAAATCATTCACTTCTGTAAAACATAGATAATGAAAGGTTATTACAACATGGAGAACTTTTAAGAGAATTTGAGGATTTAAGGTCAGCATTTTTAAAGAGCTAAGTGTGAATAAGTTAATTAAGTTTCAGGAACCAAATATTGACTTCCTCTGCAGCATACCTCCTGTCAACTGTTTCCTTGTAGAACAAAAACAAAATGTGTGGAGCATTTTTAAGTAATGAAGATGGAATTTACAGTCAAAACATACCCTTTGTTATGAGAAAATGATGTTTTACATCCGTTCAAGAGCATTGGTATTCTCCAAAGTGTGTGAGGAACAACCGCTCTGCCCATGCCTGCTGCTGTCAAGACAGACTTTCTTCTATACCTGATTAGGTTCAGTCCCTGAGGAGCGTGGTAAATGAGACTAAAAGACAATTAAAAGACAAGGAAGAGCTGACACAGCAACTTCAGCAACAGGAAGCAGACCTGGAGGCACAGATGACCCTGCTGAAAAAGTAAGTCGCTTGTTTTTTTCATTTATTTAATATATTTCTTGTATGGTTTCTATTCTTGGTGCCTTATTGGTATCTGCCAGTCATTTGAAATTGAGGGATAAAGTATTGTGTCATAATTGTTGATTCCTAGGCATGAAAACTTTGCCGTTACTTGTGGATTGTACAGGAAAGCTGGAAAGAGGATTGGATGGCAGTCATGGCACCCAAGTGGGGACATACATTGATGGATGCTGAAATCAATACTACATCTAGACTCACTCAGGTAGTGATTGATTTCAGTGCTGTCATCCTTGAAGCATCCAACTGTAGTCATAAATGTAGCCTCTGCAGGTGTGGTTTCCTTAATCTTTCCTCTCTTATCTAGTTTACATTTATGCTAAATAGCTCGAGGTTCACCCCTTTACAGTGTATTGTGGTCCATTAGCAGGGACATATTTCTTCAGCATTCACCAAACTTATGATAACTTGTGGGAAAACAAAATGGCCCAACACATAAAGAAATTTCCATTTGCTCAAATGCAAAGGACCTTTTCACTTCAAACTTGAGGCAGATTGGTATGGGTAAGGGCTTATATCCTTCATGCATGGCAAAGCTGCTGTATGTTTGGAAGTAAAATTAAAGCCACTTTGTTCAAATTCTTCAATGTTTAAAGAAAAAAAGGTTTTCCTGTTGAGAATTCAACAAATTTATTATGTATTTTTCATTCTGGATTCACGTTTTGAAAGTCAATTATCTTAGTTATGATACTTCGTTATCCCCTAGTCCCCAAAAACGAAGATGTAGTACTTTTAAGAGCTGATAATGGTATATTGGAATTGTTTGATGCAAGTCGCTTATGTGTATTTTTAAACTCGAAGAATCTCCACTTCCTCATGCGGGGTGGATCTTTGGATCTTTGACGTTTTCAAAGATAGTGTTTATAATCTAGGAGGGCACTTACTCTTATAATATCACTCACTCACTCACTCACTCACTCACTCACTCACTCACTCACTCACTCACTCAGCTAGGATACATCTACTGAAGACTTTGCAGCCAATTTCAGAAAACACAATCAATCTCTTCTATATCTCATTGCTATGAAGCAGATCTTTCTGTTTGTTGCTTGTAAATTTAGCCACTAGGTGTTTCTATGCTTCCTCTCTGCGCCATGGCATCCCAGTATCCTGACATCATTACGTACTCACATCTCTGAAGACATACATTGCCATGTCTAGATACAAAGGTCAGCCCCTATTAAATGGACATGATACTGCTTCTGTTTCTTTGAACATGCACTATACCGGCCTATTTCCTGCTATCTGTCTCAATCAGAGCACTTGTCATGGGATATTGACAGGAGAGGACTTTATACACAGCTCCACTTCTTGGCAGAGGAAGATTGTGTGTCGTCAGTGGTGGTTCAACAAGAAGTTTCAGCAGTTCTTGTTTTTGCATAAAATACTGGCAGGAACCATCTCTGCCAACATGTTTAATTAAATTCTCACCTCACATTTTGAATCAGAAAACTGGTCTTAGAGTCAAGCAAGCATACCATTGAGAAAAAAGATGTTGATCGGAAAGCAAGTCTTTGTCGATCCCAATCAGGAAGCAAGTTCAAATATCATTTCAGCTTTTATGATGCCAAGGTGTATTTTGGGGAATTTTCACAACGTGGTACAACACTTTTTTGGCTGAAAACATGATAATAATGACTTAGACACCAAAGAACTTGAAACTTCTCGATGGGTTTAGTTGATGGGTTCAGTCAACACATACCAGGAATCATCATGGCATGTGTTATCAAAAGGTTCCATGACATAACTTTCTGCTTATGTTACTTAGAGTTGTTTTACCTTGAGATGACGTAATTTGCTTGTCTGACCTTCAATGATGTAGACTGAGCATCCATCAGAAAATGATTAACAGCAGAAATGTATGATGGGGCATATCCAAACATCAGTATTTAAAATATGAATACTATAACTTGTAGCAGGATCACTTGGGGTACATGGGGTTTTATGCATCCTGCGTTAGGTAGAGGCGAGTGGTATAAAACCTAACGAGTGACGCATAAAACCCCATGTACCCTGAGTGATCCTGCTACAACAAATTGATCTTACCGACATGTTTTAGTATGACAGTGTAAAATGATTCAAATAAATTCCAAATTGATAGAAAACAGCTGAGATTAGCTTGTGCTTTGTCACGTGACGTTAATTGGCTCGGAAAGAGTGTGAGGCTTTTTGCTTTGAAGCAGGATATAAAGGATTTCTTCTGTCTGTCAGAAAAGCATGTGCAGCCTGTAGTGCTCGTGGCGGGGTATAAGAGATTTATATCCCTGCTGTGCAATTTATAACCTCCAAGGCGCGTTACACAGTATTTTATCAGGATCACACGGACCACTTTGTCTGTGCAAAATCTATCAGTCCATATTTCATAATTGGCAGCTAGTTAACCACAAACAAGGAAACAATCATTCTCCTGTAATACATGGCTTTATTTAATGTTTTCCTTGAGGAAATAATGAGCAGCATCCATAACCATTCTCTATTACACACTGTGCAAACAGAACGCTAGATACCTGAGGAATAGAACCCTTTGAACTGGATCCTGAACTCTCTGGTACTGTCAGTGATAATCACACTTTGAAAAGCTACAGGAACACAATGAATTGCAGGAATAATTCTGTGCCGTTGCTTCAATAACCTCACTGAAATTGAAATGCATATTCATGTTGTTGGCAGGAATTCGCATTTAAGAATTATCTTGACTAAATATTTAAAACGACAATACATTTTGCATCTGCCATGTAAAGGGGTCAAAGGAAATGTCCTTGTCGAACTGCTAGTTAACTGGACTCAGCTAAATCAACTTGATTGTTATTTCTGTTTGAAGGTATGTTGTATCCTTATTATTCATGTTTTATTTATGCTTGATTTTTATGTTAAATATAACCCAAACAAGAGTGAGGGGAATACAACCTTTAATCCACCAACAGAGCAACTAGGCACATCACCTATACATAAATGTATACCCACACAGGTAACAAGTCAAGCATGATAGAAAACCTGTTTTTTCTGTTGAAGGTATGTGTCATGGATTATTCATGTTTCCTTCATGCTTGATTTTTATAGACATTCGGTATTTAAATTGTAAATGTACAGTTGATTCTAGATAAGTATGGGTAGTACAGCAAACCATCTGGTATGACAATGATTTGCCAAATATATTTTGAATCTACTTGCTTGACCATGTCCTGGAGAATATTATTATCATTAGATTTTGTATGTGTATATAGATTTATGTTCACTAATCTTACTTCAAATTAAATTTCATTAGACCCAAGCTATAGACTGGTCACTAAAGTTGCTAAGTCAGTTTTAACCTTGAAGCAGTGAGAATTAATAGATAAATGAATACTAAATGAATAGAAGGATTTTAAGGTCCTGTTATATCAAGCATTGACTGCTTTGAAAAATCTAGTGAGAATAGAAAGACGAGTAAGTGATGCAATACATTGTTTTGGTTTTCAATAATACACTCATGGAGGGTATAGGTATATGTACGAGTATTATTTTGGTTCTGTTTTTTTATATATTGTTTTAGACTGAGTGGCCGAATAAAACTGGATGACACCTCCTGACCCATCAAAGCTACAAAGGAGAGCAATTAGATGACCCTGTGTCTATGTAATTTCCTGGTTCTTATGCTAACAGAAAAGCTGGTTGGATTAGCTGTAATCAGTTGTCAATTTTGGCATCCTTAACTTATGCATGGAACACTCCATACTGCAGGCAGGCTGACCACAGTCTTTCTCTCGAGGCAGACATTGTTATGGAAAACAAATTGGGTTATGGACTCCCCTTCCTAAATAGTCTCTGTACTTTACAAATTCTGTGCTCAGACATAACAAAATCATATATATTGACAAAATTATGCATCTTTAATATCAACACAGATCAAAATAATCTTTTTTAACGGTGTTCTGACTAACTTGTCTGGCTGGATGACATGAGCAATTAATCAGTTATGTAACTTGATATTGATCTATTTGAAAATAATATGACTCCTTTGATCAGTGTGATCAGAAAATTCCAATTCCCATAATTCTTTTATTTGCAGATGTTTATTTGTTAATAAATAAATTATCACACCAATTTTTACATTTTTGTGTGTGAATAGATTCTTCTTGAGTATATATTTGAATGTTTTTCATTGCAAAAGTGCAAAAAGAAAGAACAGAAAAATGTGAAAACTGCTACAAATATGACTGCTGTGATTGCATTGAGGTGAAAAATGGAACATGCCATGCGTAACTGTTTCCGTCAAATTTAACTTCCCACAGCCAGATGAAAGTAGCATGTGTAGAGAGCAACAACCGCTGACCTAGATGTGATCAATACGAGGAAATTGAAATCACCGAGACTTCAGAATCAGTTGCAGAAATCAATAACTCGCGAGAAGGGTTCAACCTCTCCACAACTTTTTAGATATGGCACATTTTTCAAATGAGGGAAGCAATAGTTTTATGTTATTTAGTCAGACATGCATAACAGGAACTGAGCATTGGTTTCCTAATAGACTATTGGAACACCCATGGCATTGAGTCCAGCCAATTTATTGATCAATCAATGCCATTATTACACGAGGGGCATCCCGAGAGCCCACACAGATATAGACAGCTTGACAACATTCAAAGATGTTGATACCACCGCCTACCTAGTGCTGCTTCAGCCATCCCTCATTCCTTGTATTGCAAGATGTAGACATGGGAACTTGTGCATCCAAAAGGACTTTACATCCCTCCAAGCATAGTGCATGGTGAGTTCTGACTATGGATTATCTGCTCAAAACACACGGCTGAAACAGTTTTCATCATTTTCATCCCTTGTTATTACTTTAGGTAGTGTTTCCACTGCAGAGAGACTTCAAACTAGGTCAAAATCCTTTATCGATTTTCTCCAATGCCTCAATATTTTTGGGTCTTCTTAAGTAAGATGGTTATCTGAGTTCTTTT